TTTATTTGGTTGTATACTTACTTGTGCAGTGTATTTAGACTTACATAAAGTCTTTCACATTTTAATTGCAAAATCAAAATGACGGACGTCGCTTGTCCCTCTAAAGGCGGTTTTCCACTAGCGATATATTTCGCGCGAAAGAATAAAGTCGCTTCGCTCGAAAAATAACGCTGGTGGAAAACCAGCTTTAAGTCAGGGCCTCGGCTTCGCCTCGTGAAATATCGACCGGACTCAGGTTCCCCAAACATAATTTTTCCTTCGGTCGACGGTGAATAAGTGTTACTTTAATTACTCATGCGAGGGTGAATACAATTCAAGATTAGCCTAGCCATGCCGGTTGAGTCGGATTTGGCATACTTACGAACAAAACGCATGCATATTAGCACGATAAAACCGAAAAAATATTTGGAGTGCCTCGTCGAGATCCTTTAGCATTCGTGCCTAGGTTTCGGCACGTATTTTTCGTGGATTGCAGATTTTTGATGTACACTGTCAATGACACAAATTTTAATCGTAGCTACGTCACGATATTAAGGAAAATGAACATAATGAAGTGGAAGCTTCAACAACATTAAAACGGTGTACTTTAATATCCCAATTGCTAATAGTTTGAAAAGCTCTAAATTTCCATTTTTAATGCAACCGTTTGTCAAAATACAGCCTTGCTTGACTTCCTGACTTTTATCCATTATTTTACAGTTTTGGCTTTCTGGCCTTTCTTAGATTCTCTAGGGATATTTAGTTTGTTTGCATAATAACATTCTGCCATTTTGTTTTGTCATGTAATAATTAATCTCATTATCGCAACCTCGTGAACCATTTTGTGTGAAACTGGATGCGCCTGATGATGTACAAAAAGTAAATGCGACCATTTCAATTCACCAAGTTCAACAACAAGAGAAAACAATGTTGTGATTTTGACGAATATGCTATGTTCAAGTCCAGATAAGATTTATTTTTCCACGAATCTCGTCTTTCATAATTAATTTCGATTATAGTTGTTTTATCTCCGCAGAAAAGTTCTGCATCTCGACTGTGTCAATGTTCATCAACGAAAGGATCCCTCAACGCCTCGTGAGCATAAGGTCTCTCATGAATTTTGTGATTGATCAGCCTCGACACAAAATTTTGAGCTTTGCGATCACCAAGTTTCTTCAAATTAACAGAGTTCCCTTTTGATATATTTCTCATTCGATCAAACCTGGAACCAAAAGGGTGTTCACCTTTAGTTAAGACGTAGAAAGCAATCATACCTGCTACCTGGACATCTGATTTCCTTTTATAACGACTTTTCTCATCTTTCTCAATGGCTTGAGCTACTTCCGATGGCATCCATCCAGGAGTACCTTTGGCGAATGTTACAACTGTTGTTTCATCGTCATTCAAAATACGGCTTATTCCAAAGTCTGCCAATTTCATGTGACCTTCGATATCAACCAGGACGTTTGAAGGTTTTAAATCTCTGTGCAATATTCCTTCACCATGAAGAAATTCAAGTCCTGATAGAATTTCCCTAATCATTCGTGGACCATGCTCTTGTAGATGTTCAATACTGCATGCATGAACAAGTTCTCTCAAGTTTTCCTCGCAAAGATCAACAATAAGATACATGAACTCATTGCCAGAGTGAAAATAACGATAACTCACTATAAATGGACAGTTTTTCGTTTCAATGAGACTCATGATTTCCTTTTCGTTTTCAACTGTTTTGTCCTCACTTGGCACCAAAACTCTCTTAACAGCAACTTCACTTTCATCCTTCATGACACCAACATAGACACGTGAGCCACAACAACCGTCGCCAATTTTGAATTGATTCGTTGCGACAAAAGCCTGAATCGGTATTTCAGTCTATTGGAAAAAGAGATAGATATTAGATGCAGAGGGCAAAATCTATAATAGTTATATTGTGCAAACGAATATTGAAAACTGTCTACGGAATCTAAATGCTCGTCTTCGCGGTGCGACAGCGTAGATCATGAACTCCATTTTCACCTTTATTATATACGCAAAACTGATTAAAACAACTTCATATATAATTATGTATTTCAAAAATTACCTTTTCTAACTGGTTGTGGTTCATTTTTCAACATCTCAATTTTCTCGCGATGTTTTATGGACCTCTTTAGAATAGTTTTATTTCATCATGACCAATGTAAATACTCCATTCAAGAAGACTCATTTGCCTTCCCTCGACAAGAAATGTTCCAGCTCTCGAAACAACTATGTTCTTTTGCAAGAGGAGTTTCACCAAAGCAACTGAATTGTTCACAACAGCCATCCTCATGATGTCAGTGCCAAGAGCGCTGATATTACTTTTAGGAGTTATGTCAGCACCCTGTTCAATTAAATACTTGACAATTTCTAATTCACCTGTATCGACAGCGGCGTGTAGGACGGTCCAACCGTCAGTATATTTAGCATTTACATCAGCGCCATTTTCCACGAGGTGCTTGTGATATCCAGGCTACCTTTAGTAACAGCAGTGTGCAGGACTGTCCACCCGTCTGTACTATTTCCATTTACATCAGCGCCATTTTCAACGAGGTATTTTACCATATCTAACGTACCTTTATTAACAGCACTGTGCAGGACTGTCCAGCTGTCAGAATTCTTACCATTTACATTAGCGCCATTTCTGACTAGATATTTTACCACATTTAACGTAGCTTTCGTAACGGCGCTGTGCAGCACTGTCCGTCCGTTCGTCGTCTTACCAATTACATCAGCGCCATTTTCAACCAGGTATTTTACTATCCATCGTACTTTTAGTAACAGCGTAGTGCAACACTGTCCTACCGTAAATATTTTCGCCATTTACATCAGCGCCCTTTTCAACAAGATGTTTCACCATTTTAGCGTACCTTTAGAAACAGCATAGTGCAAGACTGACCATCCGTCAATATACTTGCCATTTACATCAGCCCCCTTTCTAATGAGATATTTTACCGTTTCGTGTGCTCCTTTAGCAAACAGCACGTGCAGCACTGTCCATCCGCTACTATCCTTGCCATTTACATCAGCGCCATTTTCAACAAGGAAAATTACCATTTCTAGCGTACCTTCAGTAACAGCACTGTGAAGCACTCTCGATTCATCAGTATCCTTGCCATTGACGTCAGCCCCATGTTCAACAAGGTATTTTACCATATCTAGCTTACTTTCAGTAACAGCACTGTGTAGAACTGTCCGCCCGTCAATATCTGTGCTATTAACATCAGCGCCGTTTTCAACAAGGTATTTCACTATTTCTGGCTTACCTTTAGCAACAGCACTGTGCAGCACTGTTGACCCGTTAGTATTTTTGCTGTTAATGGCATTCACAGCAGCGCCTTTTTCAACAAGATATTTCACTATATCCAGCGTACCTTTAGTGACAGCAGTGTGCAGTATTGTCGACCCGTCAGTATTTTTACCTTTTACATCAGCCCCCTTTTCAACAAGATATTTTACCATTTCTAGTGTACCTTTGCTAACAGCATAGTGCAATACTGTCCATCCATCAGTATACTCGCCATTTACATCGGAGCCATTTTCAACAAGATATTTATGATTTCTAGCTTACCTTCAGTAACTGCATTGTGCAGCACTGTCCACCTGTCAGTATTTTTACTTTTTACATCAGCGCCATTTTCAACAAGGTATTTTACCATTTCTAGCGTGCCTTGACTAACTGCAAAATGCAGCACTGTCTCCCCATTAGTATCCTTGCCATTTACATCAGCCCCATGTTCAACAAGATATTTTACCATATCTAGCTCACTTTCAGTAACAGCACTGTGTAGAACTGTCCGCCCGTGAATGTCCGTGCTATTTACATCAGCGCCGTTTTCAACAAGGTATTTTACTATTTCTGGCTTACCGTTAGCAACAGCACTGTGCAGCACTGTTAACCCGTTAGCATTTTTGCTGTTAATGGCATTCACAGCAGCGCCTTTTTCAACAAGATATTTCACTATTTCCGGCTTACCTTTAGCAACAGCAGTGTGTAGTACTGTCCTTCCGTCAGTATTTTTACCTTTTACATCAGCTCCCTTTTCAACAAGATATTTTGCCATTTCTAGCGTACCTTCGCTAACAGCATAGTGCAATACTGTCCATCCATCAGTATACTCGCCATTTACATCGGCGCCATTTTCAACAAGATATTTTATGATTTCTAGCTTACCTTCAGTAACAGCATTGTGCAGCACTGTCCACCCGTTAGTATCCTCTCCATTTACATCAGCACCATTTTCAACGAGATATTTTACCATTTCTAGCGTACCTTTACTAACTGCAAAATGCAGCACTGTTTCCCCATCAAATCCTTTCCATTTACATTAGCGCCCTTTTGAACGAAATATTTCACAATTTCTAATGATCGAGACTGTATTGCACACCGGAGAGCTCTACAATCATCTTGAAAATTATGTTCCGGGCCATATTGCACAAAATACTTAACAAGATCGAGTAAACCAGTTCTTGTCGCGTTACAAAGAACTGTTTCACCATCATCGTTCTGGGAATAAATGTCTGCTCCATGGTCAACTAAATATTTAACAATTTTTTGATCTGCTGGAGTAAACTGAAAAGCACGCCAAAGAATTGTTTTCTTCCAACTATCTTTTTTGTTTGCGCCACATTCAACTTGCCTTCTTATTTCGTCCCAAAATTTCTGTTTTCCTTCTTCACAGACGTTTGTACTTCCACTTGCCTCTTGCTTTTCATCACTTTCTATATATGGGGGTATTAACATAATAAATTCGTACAAATTTGGTAGCGTTTTTTACGATCTTCCAGGACATCATTTTCAATGCAAACTTGGTAGTTATTTGTCAAACACAGTCTGAATATGACTTTTTATTCAGTACTTTCGTTTAATTTCATGGGTTTCTTATTTCCTCGACGGCCTTTAAATTTCAATGTAAATACGCACGCAATTTTATTTATTACAAAAAAATGAGTTCAGTAATTGTATTTTGGTATAATTAATAATATTAATAGAGCGAAAAAGAGAACAATTAATGCCAAAATAATACCAGTGTTTACAAATTAAACCGAGCACGTAGCAGGAGTTGATTTGCTAACCACGAGTGTGATTTGGGCATCTATTATCCCCCAGTGGGCGCGGAGCGCCTGCGAGGGTACTAATTCCGATCGGAGATTAGGAATTACACCCGGAACCCGGGAGAACATAGCCGATTCCAAAGTCCATATTCTTTGTCATGGACGATCGACGTTGGGTGGTTTTGTAAGTTTTGCGCATGCGCGAGTAATGACTGTAATCTACAAACGTTTTGATTAGCTAAGACAGAAAGTTTGTATTTTAATGAGAACGTCAGCAATCTAACTTTCATTTCGTGAACTTTTTTGTAAACGCGTTTCATAAACTTTTTCATGACTTTGTGCAAAGGAAACAAAGAAGAAACAAGATGCATGAAACATGACAGATAGCAAAGATGAACATGGATACAGTCATGCACTCAAGAAAAAGCCGAGTAAGAGAAATAACTTATAATCTACATGTTTATAAGTGATTTCAAAGGGTAAATGTTTACTTTGTTTATTTCGTATTTGTTTCGTAGTAAGGACGAGATTTATTTGTATACTTTTCGGCTTTTGTATGCAGTTTATTTGTTTAATTTTCAGCTTTGTATAACTTTCAGTTTTTTATGCAAACGAATAAAACCAGTGAAAGGCTATTTTCAAAAAGTGATTTGGATACTTTACAGGATAGCGTGATACTTTACGCGGGATATTGCGAGACTTTTCGAAAGCGTGAAAAAGTACGAGTCGTAGGCGAGCGTTTTTCTTACGCTTTCTGAAAGTCGAGAAACTATTTAGTATTTGTTTAATAAAATAAATACAATGGAACAATTGTAACTTTTCGTGCGGGATTTTCTCATTTTGAACGCCAACTAACCAATGAAATTGCGAGTTTCATTGCACTTATTATATAAAATTTCATACCGTTATGATATTTTTGTTTTCAATGTTTTCTTCTTGAAGTTCCACTTCAATTCCTTTTTGTTCATTAACAACAGGCTTGGATTGTTTATTTCCCAACGCAGATATATCATCTAATTTCCCAGATATTCCTGTACGATTCTTTTCTGCCAAAGTTAAAAGTTATGTCGCTCTCCTCACGCTGGGATATGTTGACATTATCATTTCCATGGATTCAGTCATTCTCATCTTATTTGGCGAAGCCGCCATCTTCGAGCAAAACGGCTATGCCTAAAACAATTCAGACTTCATATGAAAATAGCACGTTGCATGTGCGCCTTTCTAAAAAGCAAACTTCTATTTAATTTTGTAAACCCATAATAGAATTTTACTAGAAATACATACATTTACTAGAACTCAGGCAAAGCTAATGATTTATGAAATGACTGGAATGAGTCGAAAGCTCATAAATGTTTCTTTTTTGCAGAAACCAATACAGTCATAAAAGTGAAGTAAACATCGCCCGTTTTACCACGCCATTAAGCTGGCAATTTAGTCCTTATGTATTGTCATTGTTAACTGCAAACACACAGTAATATTCTAATAGGTCAACCATCTTGACATGTTCACAACAATTACGATTAAATGAAATTAACTTAAGCTGGGCTCTGAAGAGGAAATTATCCTCTTTTATTATATGGATAGGGGTATTTTATTGAGGACTAAAACACTCGTACAATTCATACGCCACTATGTGACATGTTTACGTGATGTCTATGTCATGTTTATGCCATGTAAATGTCGTGTTTATGTCATATAAATTAATGTCATACGGTATGTCATGTCTATGTCTGGGGGTCACACGATTTTCAAAATTTTCGATTTGAATTCAGAAATATTAAAAGATAAATTTACAACTGAACTATTTGTCATTAGTTAGAATTACTTGTTCCCGACACTTTTACGATTAAATGGAGAACACGCTTAATTGGGGTTGTATATTGAAGCATTTTCAATCACCGTAACTACGTTCGCTATCGAATGACATCCGGCAGTCACACGGTTACGAATTTGCGAATATGAAACCCTAAATTTAGAGCCCCTACCTCAAGATAACCTTTGCCGGTTGATTCTTGGCGAGATATATCGTGGTCTCTAAGTTTAGCGTGAACATAGCCCAAGTCACTCATGAGTAAAATTCGTCTAACGTAGCAATCGATAAAGTCTGTTTTGAAATTTAAGTAATGGACCCTTAGACCACAATCCTTGCGCAAATGCGCTAAATTTCACAAAATTTCTTATGGATTCTGAGCACTGTCGTACTGAAACAAATTATTGTGATATAACACAAGTTTATTTATCAAAGTCCTGGCTTCAATGGTTTATAGCCTACAACATTGACAATATATTAAATAAAGAGCTTTGTGATCTACATTCCAGCAAACCTACCTTCATCGCTGTCTGTCCCCGCTGTCGTCAGTGGTATATATTCGTTATTAGCGACAGCATGCTGCTGTGATGCTCTCTTAAAACGAAAAAAAACCTTATTTATTCTGAAGTCTAGTTCGCAACATTATATAACTAAAAAGACCAGAATTTTTTGAATATTATCTTGCAATTATAGGCAATTAGCCACAATAAGGGTTTCCACAATGCAAGGAAATTTCCTTGCGATTGACAACACAAGCGTGAGAGGGATCTCTGTTGATATGATATATGATGCATTCTTTTCAAAAGTTTTTTGTTGCTGTTTTTTTCCAATGTTGCTACCCCCTAAAAGCCATATGCGAATAAGTTGTGGAAACCCTGGCCTAAATTCTGGCACAGTATGTTAGCTTTTGCTGGATTTCCTCCTGCAGAGAAATATTAGCCAGCGAAATATTTGCATATTTTCTTTTGAATTGAGAGCATTTAAATTGAACAAATTTCTTTATTTTGGTAAAATGCCACCAGTTATCTTACTTGAATACACACTGCTTCTTCTATTGCAGGTCAAAGTATCTCTTCTATTGTTGAGAACAATACGTTGAGAACGCTAACTGGCAGTCCGAGTTCCCAAACGAGGTTTTATTCTGTCGAATTTTTTCATCTTGTATCTTGCATCATATAATCATGTTTACATATCAAAAGAACAATAGATGAATATATGAATATACACCGGCACCACTAATTACGCTTTTAGCTACGGCCTGTGTACAGTTGTCACAGCTTGGGGTGGACCCCCCCGGTCCATATCTATATTTGTACCGGGGATCCGCTAGCGGATATAATAGACCTACGGGGGTCCAATTCGGGGTCCGACTCATATACATAATATTCAACCACCATCACATTGCAAAATGAAGTTTAGTCTTCTAGCTAAACATATAGAAGGCCTCGCGATAGAAATATATTCGCGCTGCAAAGGCTGCTGATTTTAAGGGATTAAAAGTGCGCTCAGACTTTAAAATTTAATGTTTTGAAAGGATATCCTTGATTGAATTAGCTCTATCATTTTCGTCAAGACTACAGATGATATAATTTACGTCTTTTAATCCATTTATTTGTAATTTTTTTCAAATTGTTGTTTTGCATGTGTGCATGTGTGCATATGCGCTCCTTTAGAAGTTGCTTTGAGTTTAATAACATTTTTCGCGTCTAATGATTGCGAATATTATATAGTACATGCAGGGTGTCCCCAAAAAAAACACAACATTCAAATATGCAAGAATATTAGTATTGTTCGGGTTTGCACCATAGTTCAGCTAAAATGACTTTTAGCATTGTAAATGAAGGATTAAGAGCCATTTTCAATTCTCAGAGGTGCTTATCTATAGGGCTTTAGAGCTGTATTAATGTTCTGCATATTTAAGTGGTTACTTTTTTTTGGGACACCCTGTATACCACTTGCCTCGTGAAATATCGACCGGTCTCAGATTCCGAAAACATAATTTTTCCTTCGGTCGACGTTGAATAAGTGTTAATTAATTACTCATTCGATGGCAAATACAATTCGGGATTAGCCTAGCGATGCCGGGTGAGTCGGATTTGGCAAATTTACGAGCAAGACGCATCATGCATATTAGCATAATAAAACGGAAAAAATATTTGAAGCGCCTCGTCGAAATCTTTTAGCATTCGTGCCCAGCAACCCAAAGGTTTCGGCACGTATCTTTCGCGGATTGCAGATTTTTGATGTACACCATCAATAACACAAATTTGCATCATAGCTTTTTCACGATATTAAGGAAAATGGATATATAGATGTGGAAGCTTTAACAATATAAAAACAGTGTACTTTAATATCACAATTGCTAATAGTTTGAAAAGCTCTAAATCTCAATAGCTTCTTGTTTTTAATGCAAGCGTTTGTCAAAATACAGCCTTGCTTGACTTCCTGATTTTATCCATTATTTTGTACTTTTGGCTTTCTTTTCTTTCTTAGTTCCTCTAGCTCTAGGAATGTTTAGTTTGTTTGCGAAATAACTTTCTGCGATTTTTTTTGTCATGTAATAATTAATCTGATTATCTCAACCTCGTGAACCATTTTGTGTGAAACGGGATGCGCTTAATGGCCATCCAGGGCAGACACGGAGGTCAGAGTCGCCCGTACTCGTCAAGTGACCCAGGCCTTAAAAAATTAATACCGCACTGTCCCACATGCATGTACAAAAAGTAAATACGACCATTTTAATTCACCAAGTTCAAGAACAAAAGAAAAAAAAGTTGTGATTTTGACGAAAAGGATATGTTCAAGTCGAAATAAGATTTATTTTTCACGAATCTCGTCTTTCGTAATTAATTTTGATAATAGTTGTCTTATCTCTGTAGAAAAGTTTTGTATTTCGACTGTATCAATGTTGATCAACGAAAGGATCTCTGAACGCTTCAGTACCGGTGCCAGCTTTATCCATACCCTACCAAATATCGCGTGTAGTGTAAACGGTCTTTAGAAAAGTTATTGCTGGCGAGCGAAGCGAGCCAGCTCCCTATTCTTGACAACAGCCTGTGGAAGCACATACGGCCGCGCGAGTTTGGGGTTTGGGCACGTATATTGAGTCGATGGCTCGACTTTTGTCATTCGGTAGACGCAGGCGGCTGGGTGTTTCTTACCCGCTTAGCAGGTTCTATGACTACCGCCCATTGAGTTACCGTAAACCTCCGACTATAAGCCCTGGGCTTATATAAGTTCATAAGCGTTTTTTGATGGGCTTATACACGGGAGGGCTTATATACGGGGGGGCTTATACATGGACAACATTTCGGGTTTATATAAACCAAGTACCGTATTTATTGTTAAGGTATAAACACGAAAATAAACAATAATTACAGATAAACAAACATTAACATGTTAAGCTGCACAAAAGATTCGTCCGTGCCGCTTTGAAACATCACCAGGACGAACATGTTTTGTAAAATTAAAACATTAAAACACACACTGCTTGAATGTTTTTGCTAAGTTACTGCTATAGGGAATTGTTTTAGTGCAAGAGTATTTAATATATACCTGTATCTCGACCTGTATAGTGGGCTTATATTCGGGGGGGCTTATATTTGGAATGACGTGAATGTTAATAATGTGATGGGCTTATAGACGGTAGGGCTTATATTTGGGGGGGCTTATAGTCGGAGGTTTACGGTATTACTGGAGGACTTGCTGCCGCCTCCCGGCGAAATCACAGGCGAAATCACATGCGAAATCACAGGCGAAATCACAGGCAAAATCACAAGCTAAATCACAGGCGAAATCACAGGCGAAATCACAGGCGAAATCACAGGCGAAATCACAGGCGAAATCACAGGCGAAATCACAGGCGAAATCACAGGCGAAATCACAGGCGAAATCACAGGCGAAATCACAGGCGAAATCACAGGCGAAATCACAGGCGAAATCACAAGCGAAATCACAGGCGAAATCACAGGCAAAATCACAGGCAAAATCACAGGCGAAATCACAGGCGAAATCACAGACCAAATCACAGGCCAAATCACAGGCCAAATCACAGGCCAAATCGTGTCGCAAAAGATGGCTGATTTTGAGCTTTGCTGACACCTCTCATTCGGCTGTTAATTTATAGCATCCAAATAAGCCGGGTTTTATAACAATTTCAGTTTTTTGCTTTTGGATTCGAATATAAACTGATTACCAAAGGTTCTGAGCTATATAAATCCATCAAAACGTATGGTACAAACATCAAAATTAATATACTATTTTAGACCTTTGGTAAATGTGCAATGTTATATACTGAAACAGTCAAACTTTATCGTTTTTCTTTACTTGTGCGGGGAAGGAATTAAATTCCTGGCAATGTCAATCTTTGAGTTTGGTCTATTTTGTTTGTATGATAGCAAACAATAATGTAAATAGGTAAACCTTCCCCCCAATGAGTCTACTAGATTCAAGCATTAACATGATCTGACTGACAAAAGTGCTGAGTGAGTGCTGATACAAAGTAATAAGATTTTTGCTGCAAACAGTGTAAATTTCAACCTCTGATGATGGTGACTGTTAAAACCTAGTTAATATATTATCTTATTTGCTATTTATTATCTTGTCAAATTCAAATGAATTTATCAATTATCATGGCTTATAATTAATTGATTTTTTAACTTCCTGCACCTTGTGAATAAATCTTGATCAGATCTCCATTTATATTTTTCAGGATGAAGATGCTATGATATAAAGCAAGCTAGAGCTTATCAATTGTCATGCAATTTGCTGGAACATTGAACTGAGATGTATTAAACACATTATACACATTGTTATGAATCTGCATTGTTATCCTTAATATGTTGTTAGCTGGTATTTTTATAACCATTGTTATATTTATAAAAGAAATTAATATACACATGCATTGATTGAGCAGTGTATCTTCAATCTGCAGCCACTTTTATAATTTTCTGTTTATGGTATCAAACTCAAGAGGACTAAACTCATTAGGCTAATCAGGAGTAATTGAGTCTATGGAGAAATAAATATTATTCATTAAAAAGACCAGGAGTCCAGGGCTGCAATTAGATAATATTGAAAACTTTTATAGCCCATTGAGGTACAATTAAGCTGATGACCTTAATGAAAAGTATGCTATGCAAATAGGACTATATATATATATATATATATAGGACTCGCCAGCACTCCCCTTGTGAAAATAACTACTAGTTTATGTATTAATCTCCATTAACAAAAGAATGCCTCAACGCTTCGTGAGCATAAGGTCTCCTATCAATTTTATGATTGATCAGCCAGGACACAAACTTTTGAGCTTCGAGATCATCAAGTTTCTTCAAACTGACAGAGTTCCCTTCCGAAATATTTCTCATTCGATCAAAGGAAGAACCAAAAGGGTGTTCACCTTTAGTTAAGACGAAGAAAGCAATCATACCCGCGACCTGGACATCTGATTTCCTTTTGAAACGACATTTCTCATTTTTCTCAATGGCTTGAGTTACTTCCGATGGCATCCATCCAGGAGTACCTTTGGCAAATGTTTGAACTGTCGTTTGATTGTCTTTTAGGACACGGCTTATTCCAAAGTCTGCCAATTTCATGCGACCATCGATATCAACCAGGACGTTTGATGGTTTTAAATCTCTGTGCAATATTCCTTTATCATGAAGAAATTCAAGTCCTGACAGAATTTCCTTAATCATTCGTGGACCATGCTCTTGTAGATGTTCAATACTGGATGCATGAACAAGTTCCCTCAAATTTTCTTCGCAAAGATCAACAATAAGATACATGAACACATCGTCATGATCACGGTGAAAATGACGATAGCTCACTATAAATGGACAGTTTTCCGTCTCAATGAGACTCATGATTTCTTTTTCGTTTTCAACTGTTTTGTCCGCACTTTGCACCAAAATTCTCTTAACAGCAACTTCACTTCCATCATGCATGAAACCAACATAGACACAAGAAGAACCACCATCGCCAATTTTGAATTGATTCTTTGCGACAAAAGCCTGCATCGGTATTTGAGTCTATTTAAGAAAGATATGGTTATTAGATGCCTCATCAGACGCAATAAAAGGCAGGGCAGGGGGCAGAAATCCGAAAAAAGGCACTTTAATGGTTTACTAAGGCCAACACGGAGAAAAATAAGTTTGATAGCGTTATAGCGCCTGTCCTTTATTCAAACTTCAAATAGATAATGGATTTGTTATGGAATTAACGTTTTGCATTTCTGCTTTTTCATTAAACCCATATTGAAGAACAAAAATTACAAAATAAGACATTCAATGTCCATGAGCATATAAAAGGCAAGCTGCCCCTTCTGCTCCCGTCGACGAAAAGGTTTAACATAAGTTACCCCTTTGAGCTACTATATTGAATTGTCCCTGGCTGCTACAACCCAGCAGCGAGGGAAAATACCTAAATTCAGTTTTCCGCTTGCCATTAAACACTCCCTTTAAACACACCCATTAAAAATTATCTTGCAGGTAATTTTACCAAAACTGCAGCGTGATCCTGCACGAGTACACCACAAGGCAATTAGCAAGCAGCCAATTAGCAACGTTCGCTAATGTTCATGACTGTCGTTAAAATTGTGGCATTATCATGCAAACATATCCGACGCATTGTATATCTAAAGCTCATAGGGGTAACTTCTGTTACCATTTACCCTGTCTACCATTTCAGAGTTTTTACAATCCACCGATTTTGCACTAATTTGCTGATTTGCATAAAACCATGAGGAAAGTGATAAAAAATATTTACAGAAATTTATGTAAATATTGTTGCGTCAAGGACTGCCTAACAGTTCATCTAGAGTATATTGGGGTAATGCCGTACCCACCTGTGAGACATTCTACCTCGCTTCATGTAGCTAATAAAAACACTTTGTTCAGAGCATTTTTTTAGTAATTAAACATTGGTCCTTGGGGATGGAGTGTTGCCGAAGGTCACCCTCTACCCCATAGACTCGCATAAATCTACATGCATTCGTGTCTAAACCTCAGTAAAGAATGACTTCATGGGGATCTATGACCCCTTTGGACATTTAGGATACCTATCTGGGGAGCTATGACCCCTCTTGGGTGAAGATCAATACTGGGGAGCAACTGCTAAACCCCTGAGGACGTGCAACATGGGGATCCACGACCCCTGAGGACGCCAGAGTCCTTGGCTAGGACTACATAATTAATTGTACCATAAACTACATGAATTAAGCTGTAGCGAGCCTATAAGGGGTAACTTTGACCTTATCTACATTATATTTGAAGCACTTCTCTCTCAAAAACCATTTCTCCCACAACTAATTGTGCGTTTGGTGTCTCGGTTGGGCCTTTAATGATTTATAACGTTGTTTCTATCCAAACTCAGTTAATTTGAAAAATTACCTTTTCTAACATGTTGCAGTTCATTCTTTTCAACATCTCAATCTTCTCACCATGTTTTAAAGACTTTTTGAGACTATTTTGAGATTCTTCGATAAGAATTGGCTTCATTTGGCTTCGTTCGACAAGAAATTTTCCAGCTCTCGGAACAACCCTGTTCTTTTGCCTGATGAGATCCACCAAAGCAACTGAATTGTTTGCAACAGCCATCCTAATGATGTCAGTGCCAAGAGTATGAGCGCTGATGTTACCTTTAGGAGTTATGTCAGCACCCTGTTCAACTAAATACTTAATAATTTCTAATGCACCAGTATCTACAGCAGCGTGTAGGGCGGTCCAACCGTCAGTGTATTTACTATTTACATCAGCGCCATTTTTCACGAGGTGCTTTGTGATATCCAGGCTACCTTTAGTAACAGCAGTGTGGAGGACTGTCCACCCGTCAGTATTCTTTCCATTTACATCAGCGCCATTCTGAACGAGGTATTTTACCATATCTAGTGTACCTTTATTAACTGCACTGTGCAGGACTGTCCATTTGTCAGAATTCTTACCATTTATATCAGCGCCATTTTCAACGAGATATTTTACCACCTTTAGCGTACCTTTCGTAACGGCGCTGTGCAGCACTGTTCGTCCGTTCGTCGTCTTACCAATTACATCAGCGCCATTCTCAACCAGGTATTTTACTATATCTATCGTACTTTCAGTAACAGCGTAGTGCAACACTGTCCTACCGTAAGTATTCTTACCATTTACATCAGCGCCCTTTTCAACAAGATATTTCACCATTTCTAGCGTACCTTTAGAAACAGCGTAGTGCAGGACAGACCATCCGTCAATATACTTGCAATTTACATCAGCACCTTTTCCAATGAGATATTTTACCGTTTCGTGTGCTCCTTTAGCAACAGCACTGTGCAACACTGTCCATCCGTTACTATCCTTGCCATTTACATCAGCGCCATTTTCAACAAGGAAACTTACAATTTCTAGCGTACCTTCAGTAACAGCACTGTGAAGCACTCTCCATTTATCAGGATCCTTGCCATTTACATCAGCCCCATGTTCAACAAGATATTTTACCATATCAAGCTTACTTCCAGTAACAGCATTGTGTAGAACTGTCTTTCCGTCAATATCCGTGCTATTTACATCAGCGCCGTTTTCAGCAAGATATTTCACTATTTCTGGCTTACCTTTAGCAACAGCACTGTGCAGCACTGTCGACCCGTCAGCATTTTTGCTGTTAATGGCATTCACAGCTGCGCCTTTTTCAACAAGATATTTCACTATACCAGCGTACCTTTACTAACAGCAGTGTGTAGAACTGTCAACCCGTCAATATCCGGTCTATTTACATCAGCGCCGTTTTCAACAAGATATTTCACTATTTCAAGCTTACCTTTAGCAACAGCACTGTGCAGCACTGTCGACCCGTTAGTATTTTTCCTGTTAATGGCATTCACAGCAGCGCCTTTTTCAACAAGATATTTCACTATATCCAGCGTACTTTTAGTAACAGCAGTGTGCAGTACTGTCTTTCCGTCAGTTTTTACCTTTTACTTCAGCTCCCTTTTCAACAAGATATTTTACCATTTCTAGTGTACCTTTGCTAACAGCATAGTGCAATACTGTCCATCCATCAGTATACTTGCCATTTACATCGGCACCGTTTTCAACAAGATATTTCATGATTTCTAGCTTACCTTCAGTAACAGCATTGTGCAGCACTGTCCACCCATCAATATCAATTCCATTTACATCAGCGTTATTTTCAACAAGATATTTTACCATTTGCGTACCTTCACTAACTGCAAAATGCAGCACTGTGTCCCCATTAGTATCTTTACCATTTACATCAGCCCCATGTTCAACAAGGTATTTTACCACATCTAGCTTACTTTCAGTAACAGCGCTGTGTAGAACTGACCTCTCGTCAAAATCCGTGCTATTTACATCAGCCCCGTTTTCAACAAGGTATTTCACTATATCTGGCTTACCTTTAGTAACAGAAGTGTGCAGTACTGTCCTTCCGTCAGTATTTTTACCTTTTACATCAGCTCCCTTCTCAACAAGATATTTTATCATTTCTAGTGTACCTTCGCTAACAGCATAGTGCAATACTGTCCATCCATCAGTATACTTGCCATTTACATCGGCGCCGTTTTCAACAAGATATTTTATGATTTCTAGCCTACCTTCAGTAACAGCATTGTGCAGCACTGTCCACCCATCAGTATCAATTCCATTTACATCAGCGCTATTTTCAACAAGATATTTTACCATTTCAAGCGTACCTTCACTAACTGCAAAATGCAGCACTGTGTCCCCATCAGTATCCTTGCCATTTACATCAGCCCATGTTCAACAAGGTATTTTACCACATCTAGCTTACTTTCAGTAACAGCGCTGTGTAGAACTGACCTCCGTCAATATCCGTGCTATTTACATCAGCTCCGTTTTCAACAAGGTATTTCACTATATCTTGCTTACCTTTAGTAACAGAAGTGTGCAGTACTGTCCTTCCGTAGTATTTTACCTTTTACATCAGCTCCCTTCTCAACAAGATATTTTATCATTTCTAGTTTACCTTCGCTAACAGCATAGTGCAATACTGTCCATCCATCAGTGTACTCGCCATTTACATCGGCGCCATTTTCAACAAGATATTTTATGATTTCTAGCTTACCTTCAGTAACAGCATTGTGAAGCACTGTCCACCCGTTAGTATCCTTTCCATTTACATCAGCACCATTTTCAACGAGGTATTTTACCATTTCTAGCGTACCTTTACTAACTGCAAAATGCAGCACGGTCTCCCATCAGAATCCTTTCCATTTACATTGGCGCCCTTTTGAACGAAATATTTCACAATTTCTAATGATCGAGACTGTATTGCACTCTGGAGAGCTCTGCAATCATCTTGAAAATTATGTTCAGGGCCATATTGCACAAAATACTTAACAAGATCAAGTAAACCATTTCTTGTCGCGTTGCAAAGAACTGTTTCACCTTCTTCGTTCTGGGAATAAATGTCTGCTCCATGGTCAACTAAATATTTAACAATTTTTTGATCTACTGGACTAAACTGAAAAGCACGCCAAAGAATTGTCTTCTTCCAACGATCTTCTTTGTTTTCACCACATTCAACTTGCTTTCTCAGTTCGTCCCAAAATTTCTGTTTTCCTTCTTCACAGACGTTTGTACTTCCACTTGCCCCTTGCTTTTTATCACTTTCTATATATGGGGTATTAACATAATAAATTCGTACAACTTCAATGCAAACTTGATAGTTATTTGTTAAACACAGTCTGAATATGACTTTTTATTCAGTACTTTCGTTTACTTTCATGGCCTTTCTTATTTCCTTGACGGCCTTTAAGTTTCAATGTAAATATATATCTTCACGCAATCAAAAGCCGTGTAAGGCATTTTTTCACGCGTGAAAAACATCGTACGTCCAATCAAATTGCATAAAATTAATTTACACAGTGATTTTTATTTCATCTTCTGCTGTGCATAAATCTCTATACACATATAATAATAAAGGAATACTAAATGATTTCCGTGCAGGATAGCGTGATACTCCACGCGGGATATTGCAAGACTTTTCGAAAGCGTGAAGAAGCACGAATCGTAGGCGAGTGTTTTATTACGCTTTCTGAAAGTCGAGGAAGCATTTAGTATTTGCTTTATAAAATAAATACAATGAGACATTTGTAACTTTTCGTGCGGGATTCTCTCATCCTGCACGCCTACTAACCAAATTGCGAGTTTCATTCCACTTATTATAATTATAAAATTTCATACCATTATGACATTTTTCGTTTTCAATGTTTTCTCCTTGATGTTCCACTTCAATTCCTTTTTGTTCATTATTAACAACAGGCTTGGATTGTTTATTTCCCCGCGCAGATGTATCATCTAATTTCCCAGATGTTCCTGTACGATTCTTTTCTGCCAAAGTTAAACTTATGTCACTCTCCTCACGCTGGGATATGATGACATTATTATTTTCCATGGATTCAGTCATTCTCATCTTATTTGGCGAAGTCGCCATCTTTGAGAAAAACGGCTATGCCTAAAACAATTCAGACTTTATATGACAATGGCATGTTGCATGTGCGCCTTTCTAAAAAGCAAACTTCTATTCAATTTTTAAAACGCATAGCAGAATTACATACATGAAACAACCCCTCGTAATGTCAAACGAAGCGGAATATTTCCTAAGCCAGAACTCAGGCTAAGTTAATGATTTATGAAATGACTCGAATGAGAGGAAAGCTCATAAATGTTTCTATTTTGCAGAAACCAATACAGTCATAAAAGTGAAGTAAACATCGCCCGTTTTCCCAAGGTATTAAGCAGGCAATTTAGTCATTATGTATTGTCATTGTTCACTGCAAACACACAGCAGTATTCTAATACATCAACCACCTTGACATGTTCACAAGAATTACGATTAAAGGAAATTAACTTAAGCTGGGCTCTGAAGAAGAAATTATCCTCATTTTATTATATGGATGGGAGTACTTTACTGAGGACTAAAAAACTCGTACGCCACTCATACGCCACTACATCCGGGGTACAGTGCGGATATTTTTCGTATGTGACATGTTACGTCATGAAATTTCATGTTTATGTCATATAAATGTCATACGGTACGTCATGTTTAGGGGTGACATAACGAGTTTTAAAAATTTTCCGGCCACTTTCATTGCTGTTGTTGTGAAAATACAAATGTCTTTGGTTCGTATGTAAAACGGAATTAACGTTGGATATACAAACGAAAACAATTGAAAGACATTTTAGATACGTAAAATTTATTCTAATTAATGTTTAGGCTAAAATTTGAAAAATATTCGCTTTTATAATGGTCCTTCATGGCTTGTGTACTTTTGTTACTCTGAATTTAGTGGGTATAATCAACAGAACATCAGGGCCGTGCCGACCGATATTTTATTGGGGGGGGGGTGTCACAATATTTTGGGCCCCTCAACACTTTATCGACTTTTGGGCCCCCTTAAAAGTCGCAACCTATTTAATGTTTTAGTAAATCTTTTACAGTTACAAATAATTAGAATCTAACCATTGCAAGTTTAATTTTGCCCAAACGAAGGAATGTACAGTCATATCAATTTAATGCGCCTGTGTTTAATTCCAGACCACACCTTGCCAAGGTTTTGGAGATCAACCTTCTCAGCCAAATCTTTTTCTCATGCCAAAAGCATAAGAGAATCAAGTCTTTTATTGTCCATTGAATTTCTACAGCGGGACTTGACAAACTTAAGCTTACTAAAACTTAAGTTTTGAATAAATGAATAAATACCCGGCTTAATTTGTCTTTAATCCTGCTTAGAATCTTTCAATATGATGAAAATGACAGACATTTGAGCCCACAGTTGATGTGATCAAAATAAGCGCGTAAAACTTCATGTAAGTCGTGCTTCAAAGGGGGAGAAAACGAGAAGAAAACGCTAGTTTAAGAAGACATTAGGGGAGAAAACCATTTGAAAATCGAAAAATGTTGGTTATTTTCTTCATAAATATAATTATTTTTAGCTTTGTTGTTAAATCAAATAACTGAAATAAGGCAAGTTCTTCCCCAAAAGCAGGGCCCCTTAGCATTTATTTGGGGGGGGTAATACACCCCCCCCCCCACACCAAAACCCCCCCCCCAAGGAGGCACGGCCCTGCAGAACATGCATTACACGGTCCCCTCGGAGAAATAAGTTTTATGTTCTCGTGAACAATTTCTCACGAGTGAGCGCAGCGAAAAGATTGACCCATTTACTGCCTTTAAAAAAGTTATACCCTACAATATTCTAAAAAGTGACGAGACAACATCGATTCTCAAACTGTCGCTTGGGAATACTTTGTATTTGTATTTATTTGTATTTATTTGTATTTGTATTTAATAAAATTACTTTGCAACCTAAAGGCTGAATTACAGTTAAAACTATTGTATCATTAAAATTATAGCTAAATACTTTACCACATCACCGAAGGGCTCAAACTATACGCAATAATTTGATGCCTGGTTGCCATTTAATCTATGCATGTTGTGAACATGTCATTGTGGCTGATGTGATAGAATATTTCTATGTGCGTGCAGTCATGCAACAATGAATTCAGAAATAATAAAAGATAAATTTATATCTGAACTATTTGTCATCGGTTAAAATTACTTGTTCACGACACATTTACGATTAAATGGAAAACACGCTTAATTGGGGTTGTATATTGAAGCATTTTTAATCACCGTAACAGCGTTCGCTTTCGTCGAATGAAATCCGGCGGTCACACGGCTACGAATTTGCGAATATGAAACCCTAAATTTAGGGCCTCTACCTAAGGATAACCATTGCCGGTTGATTATTGGCGAGATATATCGTGGTCTCTAAGTTTAGCGTGAACATAGCCCAAGTCACTCATGAGTAAAATTCGTCTAACGTAGCAATCGATAAAGTCTGTGTTGAAATTTAAGTAATTGGACCATTAGACCACAATCCTTGCGCAAATGCGCTAAATTTCACAAAATTTCTTATGGATTCTGAGCACTGTCGTACTGAAACAAATTATTGTGATATAACACAAGTTTATTTATTAAAGTCCTGGCTTCAATGTTTTATAGCCTACAACATTGACAATATATTAAATAAAGAGCTTTGTGATCTACATTCCAGCAAACCTACCTTCATTGCTGTCTGTCCCCGCTGTCGTCAGTGGTATATATTTGTTATTAGCGACAGCATGCTGCTGTGATGCTCTCTTAAAACGAAGAAAAAACCTTATTTATTCTGAAGTCTAGTTCGCAACAGTATTTAACTATAAAGACCAGAATGTTTTGAATATTATCTTGCAATTATAGGCAATTAGCCACAATAAGCGTTTCCACAATGCAAGGAAATTTCCACAATGCAAGGAAATTTCCTTGCGATTAACAGCAGAAGCGTGAGAGGGATCTGTGTTGATATGATATATATGATGCATTCTTTTCGAAAGTGTTTTGTTGCTGTTTTTTTTCCAATGTTGCTTCCCCCTATGAGCCATATGCGAATAAGTTGTGGAAACCCTGGCCTAAATTCTGGCACAGTATGTTGGCTTTTGCTGGATTTCCTCTTGCAAAGAAATGTTAGCCAGCGAAATATTTGCATATTTTCTTTTGAATTGAGAGCAGTCAAATTGAACAAATTTCTTTATTTTGGTAAAATGCCACCAGTTGGTTATCTTACTTGAACACACACTGCTTCTTCTATTGCAGGTCAAAGTATCCTCTTCTATTGTTGAGAACAATACGTTGAGAACGCTAACTGGCAGTCCGAGTTCCCAAACGAGGTTTTATTCTGTCGAATTTTTTCATCTTGTATCTTGCATCATATAATCATGTTTACATATCAAAAGAACAATAGATGAATATATGAATATACACTGGCACCCCTAATTACGCTTTTAGCTACGGCCCTGCGAACAGTTGTCACAGCTGAAAATGGACCCCCCCCCCGGTCCATATCTATATTTGTACCGGGGATCCGCTATCCGATAGAGACCTACGGGGGTCCAATTCGGGGTCCGACTCTTACACATAATATTCAACCACCATCACATTGCAAAATGAAGTTTAGTCTTCTAGCTAAACATATAGAAGCCTCGCGATAGAAATATATTCGCGCTGCAAAGGCTGCTGATTTTAAGGGATTAAAAGTGCGCTCAGACTTTAACGTTTAATGTTTTGAAAGGATATCCTTCATTGAATTAGCTCTATCATTTTCGTCAAGACTACAGATGATATAATTTACGTCTTTTAATCTATTTATTTGTAATTTTTTTCAAATTGTTGTTTTGCATGTGTGCATATGCGCTCCTTTGGAAGTTACTTTGAGTTTAATATCATTTTTCGCGACTAATGATTGCGAATATTATATATATACCACTTGACAATGTTGTTCTTCGTAGCGCTTCATTGGTCGAGAGAGAATGATGTCGCTCACTGGACTCCGTGAGGAGTGAGATAAGGCGTTATTTCCCATGGGAAATAAAAACTTTAGTCAAGTGCTGCGCACCTGGGCATGCAACCTTTAGACTGGTTCTTCATTTGAAATTATGTATTTCATGAGTAGATACTTCGCCGTCCACCGGGTAGAAAATTGTTTGGGGGTGGGGAGTTATCTCACTGTGAAGAGACCAGTAAACAAGAGAAAAAACAACAGGATAAACAGATTTAATAAGTACATTTTCGTCTTCTCAAAAAAAGTAACCTAGTTGATTTATATCAATTTTTTATTTGGTTGTATACTTACTGGTGCAGTGTATTAATTTTAGGCTTACATAAAGTCTTAAATATTTTTATTATACATTATAGTAGTAAAAGCAATTTGATTAGCTAAAATAGTTGACAAATAAATCACGCAAATTTCAGTTATCTGCTAGCAGATAACTGAGTTATCTGCAAGTGAGCCTGCGGTGGTTAACAAGCGGTATTCATTTGAATGTATTTGTGTATTAATAATTGATGTATTTTTGGATGTTGCCTTTAAATAAGGTTTTTCATTCGTTAATACTATGTTTACTATTCTTCAAATGTATAATAAAACAATTATTGAATTCGGTTTTTGTGATATGCAGAGTTACCAAGGTCTCCGTATAAGCGTTATCAGCCTCGCCTTCGGCTCGGCTGATAACGCTTACCTCGACCTTGATAATTCTGCATATCACAAAAACCTCATCCAATAATTGTTTATTATTTCAAAATCAAAATGGCGGACGTCGCTTGTCCCCCTAAAGTCAGGGCCTTTGCTTCGCCTCGTGAAATATCGACCGTTCTCAGGTTCCCAAACACAATTTTTCCTTCGGTTGACAGTGAATAAGTGTTAATGACTTACTCATGCGGTGGCGAATACAATTCGGGATTAGTCTAGCGAAGCAGGGTGAGTCGGTTTTGGCAATTTCACGACCAAGACGCATGCATATGTGCATGATAAAACCGAAAAAATATTTGAAGCGCCTGGTCGAGATCCTTAAGCATTCGTGCCCAGCAACTCTAGGTTTCAGCACGTATTTTTCGCGGATTGCAGATTTTTTATGTACACTGTATATCTAAGGAAAATGAATATAACGAACTGGATGCTTCAACAACTTAAAAACAGTGTACTTTGATATCCCAATTGCTAATAGTTTGAAAAGCTCTAAATTTCCATTTCTAATGCAAGCGTTTGTCGAAATATAAGCCATGCTTGACTTTCTGACTTTTATCCATTATTTTGTAGTTTTGGCTTTCGGGCCTTTCTTAGATTCTCTAGGGATATTTAATTTGTTTGCGTAGTAACTTTCCGCCATTTTGTTTTGTCATGTAATAATTAATCTCATTATCTCAACTAATTCGTCCACCATTTTGTGTGAAACTGGATGCGCCTGATGGCCATCTAGGGCAGTTAATACAGCACTGTCCCAAATGCATGTACAAAAATAAATGCGACCATTTCAATTCACCAAGTTCAACAACAAAGGAAAACAATGTTGTGATTTTGACAAATATGATATGTTCAAGTCCAGATAAGATTTATTTTTCCGCGAATCTCGACTTTCGTAATTAATTTTTATAATAGTTGTTTTATCTCCGTAGAAAAGTTCTGTATTTCGACTGTGTCAATGTTCATCAACGAAAGGATGCCTCAACGCTTCGTCAGCATAAGGTCTCTCATCAATTTTATGATTGATCAGCCACGACACAAAATTTTGAGCTTTGCGATCACCAAGTGTATTCAAGCCAATAGAGTTCCCTTTCGAAATATTTCTCATTCGATCAAGCCTAGAACCAAAAGGGTGTTCACCTTTAGTTAGGACGTAGAAAGCAATCATACCCGCGACCTGGACATCTGATTTCTTTTTGAAACGACACTTCTCATTTTTCTCAATGGCTTGAGTTACTTCCGATGGCATCCATCCAGGAGTACCTTTGGCGAATGTCACAACTGTCGTTTGTTCGTCATTTAGAACGCGGCTTATTCCAAAATCTGCCAATTTCATGCGACCTTCGATATCAACCAGGACGTTTGATGGTTTAAGATCTCTGTGTAATATTCCTTTACCATGAAGAAATTCAAGTCCAGATAGAATTTCCCTAATCATTTGTGGACCATGCTCTTGTAGATGTTCAATACTGGATGCATCAACAAGTTCCCTCAAGTCTTCCTCGCAAAGATCAACAATGAGATACATGAGCACATCGTCATGATCACGGTGAAAATGACGATAGCTCACTATAAATGGACAGCTGTTCGTTTCAATAAGACTCATGATTTCTTTTTCGTTTTCAGCTGTTTTGTCGTCACTTTGCACCAAAATTCTCTTAACAGCAACTTCGCTTCCATCTTTCATGAGACCAACATAGACACAAGAAGAACCACCATCGCCAATTTTGAATTGACTCTCTGCGACAAAAGCCTGCATCGGTATTTCAGTCTATTGAAGAAAGAGATGGTTATTAGATGCAGAGGCATCGGACGCAATCAAGGGCAGTGCAGGGGGCAGAAATCCAAAGAAAGGCACTTTAATGGTTTACTAAGGCCAACACGGAGAAAAATAAGTTTGATAACGTTATAGCGCCTGTCCTTTATTCAAACTTCAAATAAATAATAGATTTGTTACGGAATTCAACGTTTTGCATTTCTGCTTTTTCAATAAACCCATATTGAAGAACAAAAATTACAAAATTAGACATTCAATGTCCATGAGCATATAAAAGGCAAGCTGCCTTTTCTGCTTCCGTCGACGAAAAGGTTTAACATAAATTACCCCTTTGAGCTACTATATTGAATTGTCCCTGGCTGCTACAACCCAGCAGCGAGGGAAAATACCTAAATCCAGTTTTCCGCTTATCATTAAACACTCTCTTTAAACACACCCATTAAAAATTATCTTGCAGGTAATTTTACCAAAACCGCAGCGTGATCCTGCACGAGTACACCACAAGGTAATTAGCAAGCAGCCAATTAGCAACGTTCGCTAATGTTCATGACTGTTGTTAAAATTGTGGCATTATCATGCAAACATATCCGACGCATTGTATATCTAAAGCTCATAGGGGTAACTTCTGTTACCATTTACCCTGTCTACCATTTCAGAGTTTTTACAATCCACCGATTTTGCACTAATTTGCTGATTTGCATAAAACCATGAGGAAAGTGATAAAAAATATTTACAGAAATTTATGTAAATATTGTTGCGTCAAGGACTGCCTAACAGTTCATCTAGAGTATATTGGGGTAATGCCGTACCCACCTGTGAGACATTCTACCTCGCTTCATGTAGCTAATAAAAACACTTTGTTCAGTGCATTTTTTTAGTAATTAAACATTGGTCCTGGGGGATGGAGTGTTGCCGAAGGTCACCCTCTACCCCATAGACTCGCATAAATCTACATGCATTCGTGTCTAAACCTAAGTAAAGAATGACCTCATGGGGATCTATGACCCCTTTGGACATTTAGGATATCTATCTGGGGAGCTATGACCCCTCTTGGGTGAAGATCAATACTGGGGAGCAGCTGTTAAACCCCTGAGGACGTGCAACATGGGGATCCACGACCCCTGAGGACGCCAGAGTCCTTGGCTAGGACTACATAATTAATTGTACCATAAACTACATGAATTAAGCTGTAGCGAGCCTATAAGGGGTAACTTTGACCTCATCTACATTATATTTGAAGCACTTCTCTCTCAAAAACCATTTCTCCCACAACTAATTGTGCGTTTGGTGTCTCGGTTGGGCCTTTAATGATTTATAACGTTGTTTCTATCCAAACTCAGTTAATTTGAAAAATTACCTTTTCTAACATGTTGCAGTTCATTCTTTTCAACATCTCAATCTTCTCACCATGTTTTAAAGACTTTTTGAGACTATTTTGAGATTCTTCGATAAGAATTGGCTTCATTTGGCTTCGTTCGACAAGAAATTTTCCAGCTCTCGGAACAACCCTGTTCTTTTGCCTGATGAGATCCACCAAAGCAACTGAATTGTTTGCAACAGCCATCCTAATGATGTCAGTGCCAAGAGTATGAGCGCTGATGTTACCTTTAGGAGTTATGTCAGCACCCTGTTCAACTAAATATTTAATAATTTCTAATGCACCAGTATCTACAGCAGCGTGTAGGACGGTCCAACCGTCAGTATATTTACTATTTACATCAGCGCCATTTTTCACGAGGTGCTTTGTGATATCCAGGCTACCTTTAGTAACAGCAGTGTGGAGGACTGTCCACCCGTCAGTATTCTTTCCATTTACATCAGCGCCATTCTGAACGAGGTATTTTACCATATCTAGTGTACCTTTATTAACAGCACTGTGCAGGACTGTCCATTTGTCAGAATTCTTACCATTTATATCAGCGCCATTTTCAACGAGATATTTTACCACCTTTAGCGTACCTTTCGTAACGGCGCTGTGCAGCACTGTTCGTCCGTTCGTCGTCTTACCAATTACATCAGCGCCATTCTCAACCAGGTATTTTACTATATCTATCGTACTTTCAGTAACAGCGTAGTGCAACACTGTCCTACCGTATGTATTCTTACCATTTACATCAGCGCCTTTTCAACAAGATATTTCACCATTTCTAGCGTACCTTTAGAAACAGCGTAGTGCAGGACAGACCATCCGTCAATATACTTGCATTTACATCAGCACCTTTCCAATGAGATATTTTACCGTTTCGTGTGCTCCTTTAGCAACAGCACTGTGCAACACTGTCCACTCCGTTACTATCCTTGCCATTTACATCAGCGCCATTTTCAACAAGGAAACTTACCATTTCTAGCGTACCTTCAGTAACAGCACTGTGAAGCACTCTCCATTTATCAGGATCCTTGCCATTTACATCAGCCCCATGTTCAACAAGATATTTTACCATATCAAGCTTACTTCCAGTAACAGCATTGTGTAGAACTGTCTTTCCGTCAATATCCGTGCTATTTACATCAGCGCCGTTTTCAACAAGATATTTCACTATTTCTGGCTTACCTTTAGCAACAGCACTGTGCAGCACTGTCGACCCGTCAGCATTTTTGCTGTTAATGGCATTCACAGCTGCGCCTTTTTCAACAAGATATTTCACTATACCCAGCGTACCTTTACTAACAGCTGTGTGTAGAACTGTCAACCCGTCAATATCCGGTCTATTTACATCAGCGCCGTTTTCAACAAGATATTTCACTATTTCAAGCTTACCTTTAGCAACAGCACTGTGCAGCACTGTCGACCCGTTAGTATTTTTCCTGTTAATGGCATTCACAGCAGCGCCTTTTTCAACAAGATATTTCCACTATATCCAGCGTACTTTTAGTAACAGCAGTGTGCAGTACTGTCTTTCCGTCAGTATTTTTTACCTTTTTTACTTCAGCTTTTCCCTTTTTCACAAGATATTTTACCATTTCTAAGTGTACCTTTGCTAAAGCATAGTGCAATACTGTCCATCCATCAGTATACTTGCCATTTACACCGGCACCGTTTTCAACAAGATATTTCATAATTTCTAGCTTACCTTCAGTAACAGCATTGTGCAGCACTGTCCACCCATCAGTATCAATTCCATTTACATCAGCGTTATTTTCAACAAGATATTTTACCATTTCAAGCGTACCTTCACTAACTGCAAAATGCAGCACTGTGTCCCCATTAGTATCTTTACCATTTACATCAGCCCATGTTCAACAAGGTATTTTACCACATCTAGCTTACTTTCAGTAACAGCGCTGTGTAGAACTGACCTCTCGTCAAAATCCGTGCTATTTACATCAGCCCCGTTTTCAACAAGGTATTTCACTATATCTGGCTTACCTTTAGTAACAGAAGTGTGCAGTACTGTCCTTCCGTCAGTATTTTTACCTTTTACATCAGCTCCCTTCTCAACAAGATATTTTATCATTTCTAGTGTACCTTTGCTAACAGCATAGTGCAATACTGTCCATCCATCAGTATACTTGCCATTTACATCGGCGCCGTTTTCAACAAGATATTTTATGATTTCTAGCCTACCTTCAGTAACAGCATTGTGCAGCACTGTCCACCCATCAGTATCAATTCCATTTACATCAGCGCTATTTTCAACAAGATATTTTACCATTTCAAGCGTACCTTCACTAACTGCAAAATGCAGCACTGTGTCCCCATCAGTATCCTTGCCATTTACATCAGCCCCATGTTCAACAAGGTATTTTACCACATCTAGCTTACTTTCAGTAACAGCGCTGTGTAGAACTGACCTCTCGTCAATATCCGTGCTATTTACATCAGCTCCGTTTTCAACAAGGTATTTCACTATATCTTGCTTACCTTTAGTAACAGAAGTGTGCAGTACTGTCCTTCCGTCAGTATTTTTACCTTTTACATCAGCTCCCTTCTCAACAAGATATTTTATCATTTCTAGTTTACCTTCGCTAACAGCATAGTGCAATACTGTCCATCCATCAGTGTACTCGCCATTTACATCGGCGCCATTTTCAACAAGATATTTTATGATTTCTAGCTTACCTTCAGTAACAGCATTGTGAAGCACTGTCCACCCGTTAGTATCCTTTCCATTTACATCAGCACCATTTTCAACGAGGTATTTTACCATTTCTAGCGTACCTTTACTAACTGCAAAATGCAGCACGGTCCCCGCATCAGAATCCTTTCCATTTACATTGGCGCCCTTTTGAACGAAATATTTCACAATTTCTAATGATCGAGACTGTATTGCACTCTGGAGAGCTCTGCAATCATCTTGAAAATTATGTTCAGGGCCATATTGCACAAAATACTTAACAAGATCAAGTAAACCATTTCTTGTCGCGTTGCAAAGAACTGTTTCACCTTCTTCGTTCTGGGAATAAATGTCTGCTCCATGGTCAACTAAATATTTAACAATTTTTTGATCTACTGGACTAAACTGAAAAGCACGCCAAAGAATTGTCTTCTTCCAACGATCTTCTTTGTTTTCACCACATTCAACTTGCTTTCTCAGTTCGTCCCAAAATTTCTGTTTTCCTTCTTCACAGACGTTTGTACTTCCACTTGCCTCTTGCTTTTTATCACTTTCTATATATGGGGTATTAACATAATAAATTCGTACAACTTCAATGCAAACTTTAAAGTTATTTGTGAAACACAGTCTGAATATGACTTTTTATTCAGTACTTTCGTTTACTTTCATGGCCTTTCTTATTTCCTTGACGGTCTTTAAGTTTCAATGTAAATATATATCTTCACGCAAATTTGCTTATTTTGAAAAAATGAGTAAAGTAATTGTATTTTGGTATAATTAATGATATTAATAGAGCGAAAAAGAGCGCAATTAATGCCAAAATGATACCAGTGTTTACAAATTCAACCGAGCACGTAGCGGGAGTTAATTTGCCAATCACGAGTATGATTTTGGCATCTATTGTATATCTTGTAAATGCTTTAATTCCACTGACTAAAGAGTGCGATTTGAGCATTAATTGCATTCTTGCTCATAGGCAATCACCATTAAGGATACAAAATGTCATTTCTAAGTTATGCTCTATTTTAATAATTTCAAATTGTACTATTTACCAAGGATTATTCTGATGAAAATTGACAATTGATCTTTTTTATGATGATATAAAACGCTAAAGTCTAATGTTACACGAAGTTTGATTGGCTGGATAATTTTAAGGAGCCAATCAAATTTCGTGCAAGATCAGACTTTCGGCGTTTAACGACATTTTAAGAAAGGTCTATTATATTATTGAAGTTCAAGTGCCTATATACCATGGTAGCAGATTTTAAGGTATTTTATAAATCTTTGCAATACGTTATGTTATGACTATTATTGAGTCGTGCAATTAATGATGGTAATAGAACGAATGGGAGTGAAAATAATGCCCAAGTCATACGAGCGTTTACAAAACAAAGGTTTATATATCTAAAGATACAATTTATTGAAATTCATTACAAATCATCAGAACAATGCTTAGTAAATAGTAGAATTTGAAATTATTAAGATTTAGTATAATTTATATTTTGTATCCTGATTGCTGCTTGGCTAGTTGTATGTACTAATGGAGTGATTTTTATTAGCTATGAGCAAAAGAGCAATTACAACTCGAAAGGGTTGGCAATGAAATTGCAGCATTTTCCAAAGATTACAGAAGATATATAAATAGAGAAATGACTGTGCTTCTCTTGACAAATTAGGGTCCAGAAATTTTGTCATGTTAATATCAAGACGATAAGCCGAATACTTGAAGAATGCAGAGAGAACCTCCATGCACGTTTCGAGGAAGGGCTTTTTTTGAAGTTTTTGACCTTGATTCTTGACCTTGGTTCTTAGATAAATGTTCTATAAATAGAGATTACTTCATGATTGACGAGTTGTGAAGGATCGCAAAACGAACGAATGAGCGCAGCGAACGAGTGAGTTTGCGATCCTTCGCAACGAGTGCATAATAAAAATCGTACAAACGAGCCAACCATGAAGTAATTTGTTTATTAAATGTGTATAGAGATCAATTTGACAACGACACGCTTTTAATATACAAAAACACAGCGAGCAACAAAATCGAAACTTTATGCATCAAAACATATTTATTACCGTTCAGTTTCTTTGTAATTTTGTTCAAAAGAAGTTAGATACTCTTTCCGAAAGATTTGAGAATGTGCTGAATGTAAAAATATCTTGAATATGAGAATTATGTTTTGAATCTCACTCCTATATTTCGACGCCATCTTGAAAGAAAATGTAAAGAAATTGCCGCCAAAATGACATACGACAATTTTTCACGTGTGAAGAATATCGTACGTCCAATCAAAAGCCGTGTATGGCATTTTTTCACACGTGAAAAACATCGTACGTCCAATCAAATTGCATAAAATTAATTTACACAGTGAAATACGATTTTTATTTCATCTTCTGCTGTGCATAAATCTCTATACACATATAATAATAAAGGAATACTAAATGGTTCCGTGCAGGATAGCGTGATACTCCACGCGGGATATTGCGAGACTTTTCGAAAGCGTGAAGAAGCACGAATCGCAGCCGAGTGTTTTATTACGCTTTCTGAAAGTCGAGGAAGCATTTAGTATTTGCTTTATAAAATAAATACAATGAGACATTTGTAACTTTTCGTGCGGGATTCTCTCATCCTGCACGCCTACTAACCAAATTGCGAGTTTCATTCCACTTATTATAAGTATAAAATTTCATACCACTATGATATTTTTCGTTTTCAATGTTTTCTCCTTGATGTTCCACTTCAATTCCTTTTTTTTCATTAACAACAGGCTTGGATTGTTTATTTCCCCGCGCAGATATATCATCTAATTTCCCAGATGTTCCTGTACGATTCTTCTCTGCCAAAGTTGAACTTGTGTCATTCTCCTCACGCTGGGATATGATGACATTATTATTTTCCATGGATTCAGCCATTCTCATCTTATTTGGCGAAGTCGCCATCTTTGAGCAAAACGGCTATGCCTAAAACAATTCAGACTTTATATGACAATGGCACGTTGCATGTGCGCCTTTCTAAAAAGCAAACTTCTATTCAATTTTGAAACGCATAATAGAATTTTACTAAAAATGCATACATGAAACAACCCCTCGTCATTTCAAACGAAGCGGAATATTTCCTAAGCCAGAATTCAGGCAAAGCTAATGATTTATGAAATGACTCGAATGAGTCAAAGCTCATAAATGTTTTTATTTTGCAGAAACCAATACAGTCATAAAAGTGAAGTAAACATCGCCCGTTTTCCCACGGCATTAAGCAGGCAATTTAGTCTGTATGTATTGTCATTGTTAACTGCAAACACACAGCAATATTCTAATGAGGTCAACCATCTTGACATTTTCAGAACAATTACGATTAAATGAAATTAACTTAAGCTGGGCTCTGAAAAGGAAATTATCCTCATTTTTGGACCAGGAACTGGTCCCTAACCGCTGCTAATCTTCTTCTTATTGTTGTTAGGGGGCGACGCTCTTTAAAAAAACCCTAAGGCTCTATCATTACTTGTTTGATCGGAATGAAACTCGGCACAATTATTCTAAGCATTATTCCGCATCGATTGACGGAGTTCGAATTTTTACTTTTGAACTTTGAAGCAAGTTACAAGCAATTCTTGATATATTTGCAGCAAATAATATATACATATCAATAATATTCAGCCTACATATAAGTAAACGGAAACGATTAGAAATACATTGTCCTCTCCATTGTTATAAATACAATGCAGTTCAGAAATTAAACTCGGTTACGCAGTTCCTGGTCCCTATAGTACGATCGTACTTGTATTATATGGATGGGGGTATTTTACTGAGGAATAAAAAACTCGTAGAACTCATACGCCACTACATCCGGGGTACAGTGCAGATATTTTTCGTATGTGACATGTTACGTCATGTAAATGTCATGTTTATGTCATATAAATGTCATACGGTACGTCATGTTTGGGGGTGACATAACGAGTTTTAAAAATTTTCCCGCCACTTTCATTGCTGTTGTTTTAAAAATAAAAATGGTCTTTGGTTCGTATATAAAACGGAATTAACATTGGATATACAAACGAAAACAATTGAAAGACATTTTAGATAAGTAAAATTTATTCTAATTTAATGTTTAGGCTTTAAAAAATATTCGCTTTTATAATGGCCTTCATGGCTTATGTACTTTTGTTACTCTGAATTTAGTGGATATAATAAACAGAACATGTATTACACAGTTTCCTCGAAGACATAGGTTTTATGTTCTCGTGAACATTTTCTCACGAGTGAGCGCAGCGAAGAGATTGACCCATTTACTGCCTTTAAAAAAATTATACCCTACAGTATTCTAAAAGTGACGAGACATGCAACATCGATTCTCAAACTGTTGCCTGAAAATACTTTGTATTTGTATTTATTTGTATTTATTTGTATTTGTATTTAATAAAATTACTTTGCAGCCTAAAGGCTGAATTACGTAATTTTTACAGTTAAAACTATTGTATCATTGTATCATTAAAATTATAGCTAAATACTTTACCACATCACCGAAGGGCTCAAACTATACGCAATAATTTGATGCCTGGTTGCCATTTAATCTATGTGTTGTGAACATGTCATTGTGGCTGATGTGATAGAATATTTCTATGTGCGTGCAGTCATGCAACAATGACCGATTTGAATTCAGAAATAATAAAAGATAAATTTATATCTGAACTATTTGTCATCGGTTAAAATTACTTGTTCACGACACATTTACAATTAAATGGAAAACACGCTTAATTGGGGTTGTATATTGAAGCATTTTTAATCACCGTATCAACATTCGCTTTCGTCGAATGAAATCCGGCAGTCACACGGCTACGAATTTGCGAATATGAAACCCTAGAGCCCCTACCTCAGGATAACTATTGCCGGTTGATTCTTGGCGAGATAGATCGTGGTCTCTAAGTTTAGCGTGAACATAGCCCAAGTCACTCATGAGTAAATTCGTCTAACGTAGCAATCGATAAAGTCTGTGTTGCAATTTAAGTAATTAGACCATTAGGCCACAATCCTTGCGCAAATGCGCTGCATTTCACAAAATTTCTTATCGATTCTAAGCACTGTCGCACTGAAACAAATTACTGTGATATAACACAAGGTTATTTATCAAATTCCTGGCTTTAATGGTTTATACCCTACAACATTGACAATATGTTAAACAAAGAGCTCTGTGATCTACATTCCAGCAAACCTACCTTCATCCCCGACTGTGCCCGCTGTCATCAGTGGCATATATTCGTTATTAGCGTGCTGCTGTGTTGCTCTCTTAAAACGAAGAAAAAACCTTATTTATTCTGAAGTCTAGTTCGCAACATTATTTAACTATAAAGACCAGAATTCTTTGAATATTATCTTGCAATTATAAGCAATTAGCTGCAATAGGGTTTCCACAATGCAAGGAAATTTCCTTGCGATTGAAAACCACAAGCGTGAGAGAATCTGTATTAATAGGATATTTTATGCATTCTTTTCAGAATTCTTTGTTTCTCTTTTTACTACGTTGGTGCCCCCTAAGAGCCATATGCAAATAAGTTGTGGAGACCCTGGCCTAAAATTCTGGCGCGGTATGTTGGCTTTGGCTAGATTTCCTCCTGCAAGGAAATGTTAGCCAGCAAAATATTTGCAATTGCTTTTGAATTGAGAGCAGTCAAATAGAACAAATTTCTTTATTTTGGTAAAATGCCACCAGTTGGTTATCTTACTTGAACCACACTGCTTCTTCTATTGCAGGTCAAAAGTTTCCTCCTCTGTTGGATATGCATATGATAGAACGTTGAGAGCGCTAACTGGCAGCGGGTTTCCAAACGAAGTTTTATTCTCTCGAATTTTTTCATCTTGTATCTTGCATCATATAATAATTTTTAAAGATCAAAGGAACAATAGATGAATATATGAATATAAACCAGCACCCCTATAATTACGCTTTTAGCTACGGCCCGGTTTACAGTTGTGAAAGCGGATTTGGACCCGGCTGAAAATAGACCTTGGCCATACCCATATTTGAACCGGAGGATCTGCTAGCGGATATAAACCTACGGGGGTCCAATTCCGCCAGCAGATTTGGGTTATATTCTTCTCACGGATTCTGACCCCCTCGTAAATTTTATAATTGAATCGTATTGTGTCTTAATATTATTTGAGAGCGTTTGAAATCATCTTAAATATTAACTAATCGTTGAGAAACGTTTTTTAAAACGTTTTCTTGCGAAAATTTAAAATTTAAACAAGTTTAAAAAAATTCTGTCCTGGCGAGATTTTTTAAGAATAAAAAAGTGATTTTTGTGACATTTAAAATATTGATAATACTTTTTGACGATTTTTTTTAGACTTATTCTAATTTTCGCTTTACTTGTTAAGGTTTTCAAAAATTTAAATATTGGCGTAGCAGACTGGTTTTCGAGCAAAGTGGGTGAATAGTCATATTTATCGACAATTTTATGACTGTTAGAATGTTGCCTAGAATGTTACCTAATGTATTGGGGAAAATTCTTTTCCTTCAGGAAGAAATCTGCTGCCAAAATTTTATATCTAAGTCACGAGTTTTTAATGTTTTTAAAATTGTAAGGAGCCATCTATCATCTTTTGAGATATCTACATTTATAATTTGAAGGGAAATTATGTCACCAGTTTGAAGCTTTTTTGATAATCAAAGAAAATCGTGTCCCATAGATTATAAAACATGCGCCGAAATTGTTTCTTTCAAGAGGCAATTTTACGGGTAAATTATTACGGGCATACGTCAACGAAAAATAAAATTAGCAAAAGTCAGTGTAAACATCTTAGGGTTGAGAAATACTCATCAAAATTTAGAAATTAGCTCATTAATGAAACAGGGTTCCTTGATAAAGCAGTAGAAGACTTACGCCTGTATTCAAAAAGTTCAACCTACGCCTGTATTCACACTCACACTCATCGAGTGTGGCATATAAATTTTGTTAGTGCTGGTCAACGAGAAAGTTTTCTTTCAATAGATGGAAAGATATAAGGTGAATCACTGAAAATTAAGCCCCTTTTCGGCTGGAAATACCGCCATGGAAACGTTATGAGAAGATTAGGATCTCCCACTCAATGAGTTTGAGTGTGAGTGAGCTTTTAGAATACAGGCGTTAATGTAGGAGACCGTGTTAAGCTGTAAAATATACATGCATATTATTTGCTCATCAGGGGTCTCCGTGGAGAGCGATTGGGGGGGGGGGATGTTCATAATATATTCATCTTACTGTAAAATCAAATGATTTCAAAATAAATTACTCCTGCGTATCCAAACACAGGATATCCTGCGTATCCAATTATCGTGCTGGCTACGCCACTGGACTGATGCATAGGCACCATCAGATAATATAACACTTTCAGTAAATAATAATGAAATGAAATCATCTGATTAGGAAGAATATCCAATTTTACATTTATTGTGATCAAATGAGACCAATATAAGATCTATGGCTATGCAGCTATGCACCTTTTCCGCAACTATATCTATGCAGTGGAAATCATGTTGTTCGAATCAAAGTGAATAATAATGATATAGTGCTTGCATGCACGTGGTACAAGTTAGCTTTTCATGAAGTTAATTTGATCTACATATGCAGTGCTATACAGAAATAACCTAACATAAACCGCAGTTAACCTAGGTCAAACCGAGCTCTGACCGTGGTTGAACCGAGGTAAAACCGAGGTAAAACCGAGGTAAAACCGAGGTAAAACCGAGGTTGAACCTCGAATTTGTCGCTACCTGTCATTCCGTGTCTTTGAAGTATAATCTTGAAAGACCTATAAAGGCCTATCTACACGATACGATTAGTCGTTTACGATTCTTACCCTGACGTATATGATTGAATAAACACGCGCACAAACGTTAGATTTTAAAATTCGTTATCAGCGCATGAACAAAAATGTGTCATACAATAGTGACAATAGTATACGACAAATCGTATCGTGTAGATAGGCTTTAACAACATAGAAAAATCAAAACGTTTCCCGAAAGTCAACGACTCGACAACAAAGAAAACCCCCGCTTCTGGGCCAGAGAAATATTTAGGAAGCGAGAAGAGCTTTGCGCGTACCATAAACTAGTCCTTAAACTTCGTCGGCATGATAGAGAATACTTCATATTCTTTTATAATACTTCAATATATTATGATATTCCTTACTTATTTGGTATGAATTTCAATTTTTTCCGTATGTCACCGGACCGTTTTGGCCAGAATTTCGTCGTTTCTTGTCGTTATATGTCTTTGAGATAGGGTTTGTCCTATCCCAACGACATTGTCGCTTTCGGTTTTTCTGTGTTGTTATCGGTTTTTCAAGATTACTCTAAAGACTCCAAAAGACAGGTAGCGACAGATAACGATCTTATACAAACTGGGCTTAAGATGTTTTCGATATGATTATTGTGTGGTCGTTCTTAGCAGTTCTTAATGTTCCATTCGGAAGAAAAAGGCAACCGCGATCGCATTTTTCCCCTTGCAGTCCTCTGCGGTTTTTATCGGTCGACCGCAACCGAAGCGCAACCGAAGTGTTGGGTTATTTCTGAACTGCATGTATTCTTAAAGTACTGCATGTATTCTTAAAGGACATAAACATGACCGCCTCAAAGCTTATTTTTTCAGGAGGGTGCCTATATTAAATAAACTATCGACATGAACATAATTATGAAAATTAACGTATTAATATTCCCTAAATGGATATCGCAAAAGCACCAAAATGTGAAGTAGTGAATACGATCAATTACTCAATTTTTTCTTCAACAACGAAAGGATACTGCTGTTATTTTGGGGTTATAAAATAGCTTATTCTATGTGTATAGAGATTTATGCACACTAGAATAATGAAAAAAAAATCGTATTTCACTGGTTAAATTAAACTTCATGCAATTTAATTAGGCCTACTATTTTTTCACGCTTGAAAGATGCCATACACGGCTTCAAAAGTGAAAAATTGTCGTATGTCATTTTGGCGCGGCAATCTGTTTACATTTTTTCAAGATGACTACGAAATATAGGATTGAGATTCAAAACACATGTCTCAAATTCAAGAAATTTTTGCATTCGGCACATTTCAAATCATTCGAGAAGAATATACAACCTCTATTGAACGAAATTTCAAAGAAACTGAACGGTGATAGATATTTTTATGTCTTGATGCACAAAATTTCGATTTTTGTTGCTCGCTGTGTGTTTTTGTATATTAAAAACGTGTCATTTTCAATTGATCTCTATACACATTTGATAAACAATTATTTCATTGTTGGCTTGTTTGTACTATTTTCATCATGCACTTCTTCGATTTTTATCAGTCTCTGTTAGCGAGAAAGGATCCCTCAGCGCGTCGTGTGCATAAGGTCTATCATCAATCCTGTGATTGATCAACCACGACACAAACTTTCGAGCATTAGGATCAGTAAGTTTCTTGGCATTTACAACGTCTCCTTTCATAATATTTCCCATTCGATCTAACGAAGAACCGAAAGGGTGTTCACCTTTGGTTAAGATGAAAAAAGCAATCATACCCACAACAAAGACGTCAGATTTTCTTTTGAAAGCACCTTCTTCGTTTCTATCTATGGCTTCAATTACTTCCGGCGGCATCCAGCCCGGAGTTCCTTTGGCATACGTTTTAAGTGTGGATTTACCGTCCTTTAGAACGCGGCTTATTCCAAAGTCGGCCAATTTCATGCGACCTTCGACATCAACCAGGACGTTTGATGGTTTTAGATCTCTGTGCAATATTCCTTTACTATGAAGAAATTCTAGTCCTGATAGAATTTCGCGGATCATTTGTGGACCATGCTCTTGTAGATGTCCAATACTGCATTCATGAACAAGTTCTCTCAAAGTTTCTTCGCAAAGATCAATAATGAGATACATGAAGGTATCATCACGGTAAAAGTGCCGATAGCTTACAGTAAATGAAGAGTCGTTCGTTTTAAAAAGACTCATAATTTCCTTCTCGTTTTCGGCTGTTTTATCCTCACTTTGGACTAAAATTCTCTTAACAGCAACTTCACTTCCATCCTTCAGGATACCAACATAGACACACGAGAATCCACCATCGCCAATCTTGAATTGTGTGCTTGCGATAACAGCCTGCATCGGTATTTCAGCCTATTGACGAAAAACCATGAATATTTTTACGATATATTAATATACACGCATGTTCTCTATACTGCTACTCATACATAACCTAAGTAAATTTTTGGTGAAGTTAGATCACACATTCCTAAAGCTAAGGGAATAAACAGGGCCGCCCCTCCTCGGTTAAACGAAATTAGTTAAGCGTAGGGATGGTAACATGATTGTTAGAAAATTTATGTGAGAAATAGAAAAAGAGAAAAGTATGGAAATATTTTTCTGCGCGTGGAAACACTGTAGTCATAGCAACTCGCAAGTCGCAACGGCCGTATATCTTTAAAGAATCAAAGTTTAGTTAAGTTCGTATATTTTTAAAGAATCAAAGTTTACCGTCATATTTTTGTGAAAAAATGGCAAAAATACGACAAGATTTTTACCTTTTTATGGAAGTTAAGTTACTCATCTATAGTGAGTGTCATGGCAAATTATTTTAATTATTAAATACCTATGTCTATGAAATATAACATCAGACGTCTCATACAACTTCCGAAGTTTTATGTTACGCTTCCACTGGTTTTTCACGGGAATGTTTTGATTTTCTTCTCTTTTTGTCATTATGAAAACGGAGTTTATAAATGAAATTATAATGTCGTTTATCGCATAACACATTCAGATTTATAGAGAAATACATTTGAGAATATTAAAGTTGTGTTTACCACAAAAGAATTACTTTTTAAAGCTGTGTTGGATGAAATATTATCAAGTGTAGAATTTTCCGACTTCATTATACCATAGCAATGCGACTCGCGTTCGCTTGCGAGAGTTTTGAATTGAATATAAAAATACAAATTGTATTCCTGGGATGCCTATGATTATACACGGTGAATTCGGTCGAAAATTTGGTTTTGTTATTTGTTAAACCGTGAAAAGTCCTGAGCTCATTCGAGTTTCCCTCTAATTTAGTAAAAATACATATATTCCATATTTATGAAAATATAAATTTGTAAATTTCATCAAAATTTTGCTAAATGACAGTTATTCATTGACGTTTGAAAATACAAATTTTTGTCTCGACCAATCAAGAGCTTAGTAGTTCACACTGGCGCATGCGCGTAACGTAGAAGACCGTCCATGGCGTGAGGTCCATTGCATAATGGCGGACGACTTTGATTTCGCACTTGCACATCGTGGGTGTAAATATCCGAGTGGAATTAATACCCTCGCACGGTGCTCCGCACCGGCTCGGGGATTGGAGAGCTTTAGGTTTGACTACGGCTCCCGCTACCGCTACGAGATTCCTCACATTGACGTGATATTCGTGATACTTCGTACCGACGCCAACCACTCGTAGTCATCGTTCATCTGACTACGGCGAAGAAAACTTCGTAGTCCTCACTACGTGATTTAAAAAGCAATAAAAGTTGACATTTTCTCGTTTTTTGCAGAAAATAATTTGAGAGAACTGTTTTCCCGACCGTGGCCTTTAATTATGTGTATTTTTCGAAATAGTAGGCGTAAAATTTCCGAAATATTTGACAGGATAAACATGCATTTATTACTGTGTTTGTGCTTACAGCCGGCTGAGACATGTTGGTAGAATGCATTTTATGGACCTATTATTGGAAATGCGGAGTAAGACGGTTCTTTGCTAGGAAAAATTAAGCGTAGAGCCTAGCGTGACAATGCAGGAATATTTGTTTTACTCTACAATTAATACAACTTTTTCGCCATCTAGTCACTTGAAATTAAAAAAATATAAACTTATAATACTAAACAATGTCTACCAAGTGTATTTTGCGATGAAATTTTAGCTTTAGGATATCCGTTTCGTACAAATATTGTTGTCAAAATTGCACATCGCTATAAACTTGTTCCGTTTAAGAAAATTTGTTTTCAATCTGATCGGCAACTCCAGTTGTAATTCGTAAAACAGTTCACCTGGTTGAATTTAAGAGTAATTCCATTATTATCCAAAAAAAAACATTTAAAACCATGAAACAAACAAGAAAAACAAATTTCTTTCAAATTCGCTCTGCATCTGCAGTGTCTCGCGAGTCACGCGCGAATGAAGCAAAAAATCTGCCAAAATTTGCGAGACTACCTCCAGACACGCGTGTCTGGAGGTAAAGTCCCGCAAATTTTGGTTTCACAAAAACAATGAGGAAGTATCATTCCAGTTATTTATTATAGTTCACTGGTAAAATCTAAAGCTCTCTATTATATAGCTCCGGCCTACGCTCCGCGTGGTTTCAATGATTCGTATTTAATTTAATTACTATGGAAACCTATCAAAAATGTCCTTAATGTATGAACTATTATTTACTAAATATTACCTTTAACTGGCTGCAATTAATTGTTTTCAACATCTGAATTTTCTTACGATGTTTTATGGACCTTTTTAGGATAGTTGCAATTTCATCATGACCAAGATGAATACTCCATTGAAGAAGACTCATTTGCCTTCCTTCAACGAGAAATGTCCCAGCTCTCCATACATCTATGCCCTGGTCTAAAAGGCGATTGACCAAAATAACCGAATTCTTTACCACAGCCATCTTCAAGATGTGAATGCCAAGACTATGATCGTCAACTTCACTTTTCAGAGTAATCAGCACCCTGTGCAACTAATAGTTTACAATTTCTAGTGCACCAGCATTGACAGCAGCGTGCAAGACTGTTCGTCCATCAGTTCCTTTGATATTCACATCAGCGCCCTTCTCGACTAAGTGTCTTATAATGTTCATATCACCGCCAACAACGGCAGTGAAAAGAGCTGTCGAACCGTCAAGGTCATTACTAATTAAATCAGCGCCTTTCTCGACTAAATATCTTACAATGTCTAATTCACCGACATCGATAGCTGTGCAAAGAGCTGTCCACGCATCAGGATGCTTGCCATTTTCGTCAATCTCCCGCTCGAATAGATATTTCACAATGTCTAATTTGCCAAAAGAAATGGCGGCAGAAAGAGTTTTCCACGTGTCAGGATTCACATCAGCGCCCTGCTCAACTAAATATCTCACAATGTCCAATCCACCAATTTTGATAGCAGTGTAAAGAGCTGTCCATGCGTCCGGATGTTTTCTATTTTCATCAACTTCCCGCTCAAAAAGATATCTCACAATGTCTAATTTACCAGATGAGATTGCAGCAGAAAGAGCTTCCCGCCTTTTAGTAAGTTTACCATTTACATCAGCACTTTCCTCCACTAGATATCTTACAATATCTAATTTACCAACGTCAATAGCAGTGTAAAGAGCTGTCCACATATCCGGGTGTTTCCTATTTTCACCAGCGTCACGCTCGAAAAGATATTTCACAATTTCTAATTTTCCAGAAACAATTGCAGTGCAGAGAACTGCCCATCTATCCGGATGCTCCTCGTTTACGTCAGCGTCCTGCTCAAGTAGATACCTCACGATGTCATATTTACCACCAACAACAGCAGTGCAAAGAGCCGTTTCTCGCCAACGAGAGCCACTTTCAATCGCATCAGCGCACTGATCAATTAGATATCTCACAAACTCTAGTTTACCAAGATCAATAGCAGTATAAAGAGCCCTCTCCGCGTCAGGATGCTTGCCATCAACATCACTGCCTTGCTCAATTAGATATCTCACTATGTCTAGTTCACCAATTCTAATAGCAGTGTATAGAGCTGTCCACGAATCAGGATGCTTGCCTTTTTCATCAGCGTCTCGCTCGAATAGATATCTGAATATGTCTGTCTTACCAGAATCAATTGCAGCGGAAAGAGCTGTCCACCTGTCAGGATTCTTGCCATTCACATCAGCGCACTTCTCAACTAGATATCTCACGATGTCCAATTTACCAACATCAATAGCAGTGTAAAGAGCTGTCCATGCATTCGGATGCCTGCCATTTTCATCAGCGCCCCGCTCAAATAGATACTTCACAATGTCTAACTTACCAGAAACAATTGCAGCGGAGACAGCTGCAAACCTATCCGGGCGCTTTGCATTTACATCAACGCCTTTTTCAACCAAATATTTGACAATATTTAGCAGTTTATTGGTAACAGCAATGTGTAGAACTGTCTTTCCATTGGCATCCTTGGTATTTACATCAGCACCACATTGTTCAACCAAATATTTGATAATATCCATCGCACCAATAGCAACAGCATGATGTAAAGTTGTGTTGCCTGACTCATCTTTACAATATATATCAGCTCCACAATCGTCAACGAAGTATTTCACAATTTCTAAAGAACGAGACTCTATTGCGCTGTGAAGAGCCACGCAAACTTCTTGAAAACTCCATTCGGGAGCATGTTCAACGAAGCACTTAGCAAGATCAAGTAAACCATGTTTTGTCGCGACCAATAAAACTGTTTCACCGTCTGCGTTTTTCGAACGAACGTCTGCCCCATGGTGAACTAAATATACGATCATTTCTGCATCTACTGGACTAAACTGAAAAGCACGCCAAAGAATTGTACTCTTCCAACGGTCTTCTTTGTTTTCACCATATTCAACTTGTTTCCTTATTTCCTCCCAAAACTGCAGTTTTTCCTCTTCTTTGTCGGTGTGTCTATTTTCACTCGAATCTTGCTTTTTATCAATATTTAAATCAAAGTATCGAGAGGAATACTTAATTTCTATTTTTCACTGGCGCTTAAAAAATCTACCTTCAACGACAAAATCTATTTCCTGAATCCCAAATAATAATTCAAAAAAATATTTTGTTTTCTTGTATGTAATCTGCTACACCTATACTGTTTTTATACTATATTCATAGTATGGAAATAGCAATTATTTAATATGTGATAATATAAACCTCTATATTATTTCCTAATTGGAAATATTTCATATCCATACTTATGATTTCTATAATATGGATTTTGAAAAAATCAACAAGACCAAAACGCTTCTTGGGGACGGGAGGGAGGGGGTTGGTGCGTGGGCGTTCCGTAACCCATACCCTTTTGGAAAAAAATTGAACGAAATTAGAAAAGGTTAACGTAATTTAATATTATTGGCCCTCAAAGGGAGAAATACCAGAGCAATTTCAGACCAGCGTAATTTTTCACCTTATTATCTACTTCAAAATTCAAACAGTAAATGAGTTTCTAAGTTTTTAAAAAGGTGCTAGACGACATATGCCTTATATACATGAATGACATAAAGTATGCGTCGAGGAGCGTGGGTGGAAACGCCTGGCTTGCAAGGTTGATAGCCGATATGTTTACACGAAAGTGGTCTTGGTACGGATGAGGAAGAAAGAGCGATAGATGACTCTCATAGCGAGTAATTTAACTCGACACAAATTAAGAAAAGGAAAGGCTGTGATATATTTTACTGTTGCAACGTGACGTCACGTAGGATACTGCATTGCGAGAGGTACTTTTAAAAGTAGAATATTTAGTAATGGAAGGATCAGCTTGCCACGGCCATGACCATCGCGAAGCCCGTTGAGCATAATTTCGAACGTTACGCCTAGCGGATTAAAATATGTGACATGAAAGTATTAAAATGGCCTTTCAGCATTCAGAGTGGAGATTTTGAAGAAATCACGTTTCCAACTATGATTGTAACATTTTTTTTCAAAAAACCTAGTTTTGACTACCCACTACCCACTAAACTACCCATTTTATATTATTAAGGCTCCCCATTTTGGAAAATAGGACCGCTTTTAGGTAATCTTGCAAAATATCGCTGTTTTGTTTGTAAAGCTTATTTCCATATCAAATAAATTAATATTTGACCAAATTTTTTCAGCTGCGCTCTATCTACTCTCAGGACGCTGGTTTCAAAATAATTAATGGTGATGCTATGCATACTTACCGATGCCGCATTCGCTTCTTTGATTTTCATTAACAGCCTTAGGTTGTTGTTTATCGTCAGACCCAGAGGGATTGTCCAAATTACCTAACGTCCTAAAGCGATTGTTTTCAGCGTTGTCCTCGGTCAAGATAACTTCTTCTTCTTCTGTGGATCCAGTCATGTTATCTGGCAATGTCGCCATTTTTGAGTAAAACGGTCTAAAGTGAAAACGCCAAAAAAGAAAGAAATTCATACATAAATTCGTCTTATATCTGAGTGATTTCTTTTGTTTCTTTTTGTGTCTACGGTTGTACAAACATATCGTGGACATCCCGCGCATGCTACTAATATTAATGAGCTAACCGTAAACCAACAGCGAGAGTTTTTCAAGATATTATTTTACATTTTGAATTTAATATACATTCGATATTGTGTTGAGATTTAGTGATTTTTTCGTAGAGACGTATGTACATACCGGAGAATAGACAGGCACTTTACGAAACGTGCCACCTCTGAGACGGAATTTAGTGATTTTGTTCTTATATTCGACAACATTTCGGTGATTTTATACGCGATTGCTTGCGAAATATGGCAGAAGAAAATGCCATGTCGACATTCGACGTTAAATTAACACAACTTCAAATGATATGCAAGCGAACCGATGCAGACATACAGTTCTTGATTCTAATAAAGATACTGCGATTAAGTGACAACTGGGAGCTTTAAAAGCGTTAACAAACGAGGTAGAGACATTGAGACGAGGCGTAGAAGCGTTGAAAATCGAGCAAAAGGTGAATGAGATCGATCTTGCTACGTGGAATTCTCAAGTAGAGACTGATTTAGGAATAGCAGACGACGAAGTGAGACGCTTGGAGAAACGGCAGGACGATTGCACGGCGAAAAAGGAGAGAAATGCTTTCGAAGAGAAATTAAAATAGGAGAAAAAAAACCTACACGAAACTAAAATTCCCAAATGAGGAAGCACCAGCGACGAAGCGAGGTATCTTGCGCAAATTGGCGAAGATTTTGTCCCCGACGTGTTCGTTTCCCCTCTGATCTTACAAGAAAAATTTTTGTTCCGGGACGTGTGCGATGCGAAACTCTCGTGGGATGCAAAGGTAAGTAAGGAACAATGGCGGCGGTGCGAGAGACGTTCTGGCCCGCCTTGCAGTGAAAACGATACGCATGGAGAAAGGAATATTTGGTAGTCTTACGAGAGAGGTACAAAATGACCCACAAGAAGAGCAAGTTTCAGTCTAAATCTGGAGATGTTGTGTAAATACAGAACGAGAACAAAAATCGAGGTACGTGGCCTTAAGGAAGCATAGAAGAAACCTACTCTGGAAAGGATAACGTGATACGTGAAGTATGTCTGAAGACCTCAAAAGGAACTCTAGAAAGGGCTGTGCAGCTGCTTTTTTCGTTACAACTGAGGAGCGATGTTGTAACAGAAGTGCCGATTCTGAACCCAAATGCGGTAGAATTCGAACCACGTCCCCGGCGAGACGCATTAGCTGGAGCAAAACTACGAAAAGAACATATCAAAGCCGCAGATCATGAGTAGAGGAAGGGAAGATGAATGGGAAGAGACATTGACGATAACTCTAGGTTTAATATTTCGTTGTGTTATAGTATACACCTCTTACAAAATGTATACGGGGAAATGTGTCGAGAACCAAGAGCGAGAGTTTTTCAATATATTATTTTACATTCTGAGGTTGTTGTAGGATATGACACCGAGTGGCAGCCCGCCATTGCAAGCAGAAAATTCTACCTGACCACGGCAGGATTTGAACCCGCAGCCTTCGGTATATTAGTCCGATGCCAACTGAGCTACACGGCCAACACGGGTTTTTGGCAAATCCTGCCGTGGTCAAGTAGAATTTTTTCTCGGTGTCATATCCTACTACAAATCAAATATATAAATATATATATATATATATATATATATATATATATATATATATATATATATATATATATATATATATATACAGTAGGAGGCAAAAGTTTGAGTCCAGTCGTTGTAGAATTCCAGTATTAAATCCTGGCAGCGTATTGGAGTTAAGACATGCGTGCTAGTGTTTCAGTACTGTAAACTATATTAATTGCACACTGTTTTGGTCCTAATGATCTAAATTATAACAAAATAAAGTTCTCATTCCTTTACACTGCCCAAGATGGGTAGGAAAAAGGGCAAAGTGATGGTGCACAAGGACAAATAGTTCCATTAAGTATTGAAGGATTCTTTCCTCGTAAGATCGCAGAAGAAGTGAGAATTTAAAAAGGTGGTATGCAACTAACCTTGGAGAGGTTCGAAGAAACTAAATCCTACTCAAGCAAACTTTTAGCTGCTTTGGTCATGCTCGGTTTGGCAATATTGAAAGATATAATAGGATCCTAATTAAAGAAAAGTATCATCCAATTCTTCAAGGACATGGAATTTCATCTGGTACAAAGATGATCGCACGTCTAACTACATGATAATCACCCTAAGCACATGCACATCTTCTATGTGCCAGAAATCGTTTAGAAGCAAACTCATTCTGGTGATCTCGTTGTCATGGCTTTCCACCTCATATTCCAGATCTAAAACCTATGGAGCACTTGTAGAACCGTTTTAACCGGAAGAGGGCGAGGCACAGACCCGCCAGCCAGGCTGACTTGAGGCAAGTGGTCAACGAATGCTGGCAAGGTATTGAACGTGTGACATTAAAAAACCTATGGAATCTATGCGAGCAAGAATAAAGGTCATTTCAAGAGCAAAAAAGAGGGAACTAAGCAATGACATGTAAATGCATGTTTGCACATTAAAATACGTAAAAATGAATATCATAACATCTCATAGTTGTTGTACAGCATGTATTTTTCTGTTTACTTGTTTACTTTTTTCTAGTTCACTTATCGGTAAGGTTTTCTGTAGAATATTAATATATGCTGCTGAAACAAAGAAATACAGTCACTGGACTCAAACTTTTGCCTCCTACTGTATATATATATATATATATATATATATATATATATGTATATGTATATATACACCCATTTGTAAAAACGTTGGCCGCAGATAGATAGATAGATAGATACTTGAAGTCTAATTAGAATTGCATATGATTACATTTGCATGGAATTTCTATAATATTACACAACATATGCAATTCTAATTAGATCTCGAGTAACTATCTATATATCTATCTGCGGCCAACGTTTTTGCAAATGGGTGTATATATATATATATATATATATATATATAATATATATATATTATATATATTATATATATATATATATATATATATATCCAAAGAATTGACTGTAACAAAGAGTTCACAGAACTTGACAATGGTTGAAGAGCGCTCAATACCATTACTGGCAGAGCGAAAATATATTTATTTATTAAAAGACTAGCTTAGCTACTCTGAGTTTCACGCTATAAAGCGATCGTCAGGCTAATGACAGGTCTAGTTGCTATTCTCTATATTTACATCGTGATATAAGGTATCGGGTTACGTGTCTACATCGAGTGAAAAGTTCAGAGCGTTTGTTCAGCAGAGATTTAGTTTTGCGTTTCATAATGTATAGCTTCTCTTCAAGGCAGAAGTTACATCTTCTTGAGCCGGCTTTGTAGGCTGGGACGGTTTTCAGGAGGGACCATGTTATAGAGAATGCTTTCTTAGCTTCCTTCAGCTTCCATATGTATTTTGACAGCTCCGTCTCCTTCGCGTATTTCTTGTTCGCGAAAGATTTTGCGTGGTTTCGGTAGCACGTTTTAAAATCGTCCGCAGTGACTCCGATGTACCTCGCTGGTGGATCGTTGTTGCACGTGGACACTTCGGCTTGATACACAACGTTTCATGTGAGGCATTTACCTTGAGCTGGGCATTTTTCCAGACGTCTACAGTTGCATTGTCGTGAGTTGTTTGCGTCGTCTGTGTTTGTGTTTGTCTGTTTTGTGTGTTTACTTAGTATTTTCCTGTTGTGCTTGTTTATGAATGAGTGCATGTTGTCAAGGCAGCCATAGCTAATTCGTACGTTGTGTCGGTTGAAGATTTTGTGGAGTTTATTGGAAGGTGGGAAGTGTTTGTCTAGCAGTTGTAGGAATTGTTGTCCGGTGTTCGTTTTTACGCTCTTCGAGTAAGGGGGATTGTACCAGATTGTATTGCGTTGCCGTTTCCGTCTTTGCGTTGTGTTGCAATTGTTGATGTTGACATTGTTAGTTGGTTGCTCGTACGTGAGTGTTGCGTCGTAGTTGCTTTGTCTCAGTGCGTTGTTGTACAGTTGAGATGCAGCGTCAAAAGTTATTTTGTCGCATGATAGTTTGTTAATTCGTTTGTTGATGCATGATGGAAGTTGTCGTGTGATGGCGGGTGGGTGATTGGAAAGGCGGTTGATGTATAGTGGATCGTCGTTTGGTTTTCTATAGGGTTTGTATGTTCCGTCAGTCAAGTCAAGTGTGACGTCAAGGAAATTTACCCGCTTCAAGTTAGCCGTTGCGGTGATTTTCAGCCCGAGGTTCTTGAAAGTTTCGGTCAACTGTTTCCTAGCTTTGTCGCCTAATCTGCATGCCTGACGTAGTACGTATTGCGGCGAGGCCGTCATCGCGGTACAGTCCGATGTTCTTCAGTTGCCCTTTCAGTTTACTCAGGATGAATAAACCGACGAGTTCGCAGATTTCGGCCCCATCAAAACTGCCCATCGTTACATCGAAAGCATCTGCGGTGTTTGATTTTGTCCACGTCTGGTTGTTGTTGAATAACAGCGATTGTCTGGCGTGCTTGATTACTTTGATGTCCTGATCACTTATTTCGGAAACTGTTTGGCCCATTCGATTGCCTCGTCGAGTAGTTGCTCAGTGATTGATGGGTAGAATTCGCATATGTCAAAGCTCAGGAAAGTGTGTTTGTCCTTGTTGTTGATGTCCTTGAACCACGCGATCGTATCATCGGTGTTGCGCCATTGGTTGCTGTTCGTCTGCTCGCGGATGTTGTTGTTAATATTGTCGAGGATCGTCTTACTAACCTTGCCAAGATTGCTCTTGGCAGGATTAATAAGACGGCATTGCGGGTTATATTCGAAGTTCTCTTTATGGTCCTTAAGTGAGATAAACGCTGGTGTTTGGGCCATTGGTTCAATGCGGTTGTCGATTTCGAGGTGGGAGGCAATGGTTTTCAGTTCGTTGTGAATGTCCTTCGCGGTGTTGCCGTTGGCTACCTTGTATGTCTTGGTCACATTTTCGGTTAGTATTTTGGTGTAGTCGGCCGCGCTCATCTCATACATGTTGCGTGTCTTGTCGGCTGGGATGAAAACATTGGGAGATGTACGGATTCTTCGTTTGTCTTCTTCTAGCTTCCTGATGAAATCATCGCTGTATCTGCGGAACTTGACATTCTCTAACATTTTCGCCACATCATCTTCAAATTGTTTCATCTCAGGAACTTGTGGTGGTGCTCGTTTCGATTTCAGGCCGTAAGATTGTTTTCTGCTCATTTGTTGTTCTTCGTCGTTGTGTAGAAAGAAATGCGCTTTCCAACGCATTCTTTGGATGGCGGATTCCGTTTTGTTAATAAGGTCTCGTATGTATCCATCGTGTGAGGGTAAGCCGATGTTTTTAAGAGAATAGTCAAACCGGATCTGTTGCGTGTCTTCTGTATAAAAACCAATCCAAGTAGAGCGCTCGACTATTATAAGAAGCGATAATATCCAAAGAATTGACTGTAACAAAGAGTTCACAGAACTTGACAATGGTTGAAGAGCGCTCAATACCATTACTGGCAGAGCGAAAATATATTTATTTATTGAAAGACTAGCTTAGCTACTCTGAGTTTCACGCTATAAAGCGATCGTCAGGCTAATGACAGGTCTAGTTGCTATTCTCTATATTTACATCGTGATATAAGGTATCGGGTTACGTGTCTACATCGAGTGAAAAGTTCAGAGCGTTTGTTCAGCAGAGATTTAGTTTTGCGTTTCATAATGTATAGCTTCTCTTCAAGGCAGAAGTTACATCTTCTTGAGCCGGCTTTGTAGGCTGGGACGGTTTTCAGGAGGGACCATGTTATAGAGAATGCTTTCTTAGCTTCCTTCAGCTTCCATATGTATTTTGACAGCTCCGTCTCCTTCGCGTATTTCTTGTTCGCGAAAGATTTTGCGTGGTTTCGGTAGCGCGTTTTAAAACCGAAAATGTGACCAAGACATACAAGGTAGCCAACGGCAACACCGCGAAGGACATTCACAACGAACTGAAAACCATTGCCTCCCACCTCGAAATCGACAACTGCATTGAACCAATGGCCCAAACACCAGCGTTTATCTCACTTAAGGACCATAAAGAGAACTTCGAATATAACCCGCAATGCCGTCTTATTAATCCTGCCAAGAGCAATCTTGGCAAGGTTAGTAAGACGATCCTCGACAATATTAACAACAACATCCGCGAGCAGACGAACAGCAACCAATGGCGCAACACCGATGATACGATCGCGTGGTTCAAGGACATCAACAACAAGGACAAACACACTTTCCTGAGCTTTGACATATGCGAATTCTACCCATCAATCACTGAGCAACTACTCGACGAGGCAATCGAATGGGCCAAACAGTTTTCCGAAATAAGTGATCAGGACATCAAAGTAATCAAGCACGCCAGACAATCGCTGTTATTCAACAACAACCAAACGTGGACAAAATCAAACACCGCAGATGCTTTCGATGTAACGATGGGCAGTTTTGATGGGGCCGAAATCTGCGAACTCGTCGGTTTATTCATCCTGAGTAAACTGAAAGGGCAACTGAAGAACATCGGACTGTACCGCGATGACGGCCTCGCCGCAATACGTACTACGTCAGGCATGCAGATTAGGCGACAAAGCTAGGAAACAGTTGACCGAAACTTTCAAGAACCTCGGGCTGAAAATCACCGCAACGGCTAACTTGAAGCGGGTAAATTTCCATGACGTCACACTTGACTTGACTGACGGAACATACAAACCCTATAGAAAACCAAACGACGATCCACTATACATCAACCGCCTTTCCAATCACCCACCCGCCATCACACGACAACTTCCATCATGCATCAACAAACGAATTAACAAACTATCATGCGACAAAACAACTTTTGACGCTGCATCTCAACTGTACAACAACGCACTGAGACAAAGCAACTACGACGCAACACTCACGTACGAGCAACCAACTAACAATGTCAACATCAACAATTGCAACACAACGCAAAGACGGAAACGGCAACGCAATACAATCTGGTACAATCCCCCTTACTCGAAGAGCGTAAAAACGAACACCGGACAACAATTCCTACAACTGCTAGACAAACACTTCCCACCTTCCAATAAACTCCACAAAATCTTCAACCGACACAACGTACGAATTAGCTATGGCTGCCTTGACAACATGCACTCATTCATAAACAAGCACAACAGGAAAATACTAAGTAAACACACAAAACAGACAAACACAAACACAGACGACGCAAACAACTCACGACAATGCAACTGTAGACGTCTGGAAAAATGCCCAGCTCAAGGTAAATGCCTCACATCAAACGTTGTGTATCAAGCCGAAGTGTTCACGTGCAACAACGATCCACCAGCGAGGTACATCGGAGTCACTGCGGACGATTTGAAAACGCGCTACCGAAACCACGCAAAATCTTTCGCGAACAAGAAATACGCGAAGGAGACGGAGCTGTCAAAATACATATGGAAGCTGAAGGAAGCTAAGAAAGCATTCTCTATAACATGGTCCCTCCTGAAAACCGTCCCAGCCTACAAAGCCGGCTCAAGAAGATGTAACCTCTGCCTTGAAGAGAAGCTATACATTATGAAACGCAAAACTAAATCTCTGCTGAACAAACGCTCTGAACTTTTCACTCGATGTAGACACGTAACCCGATACCTTATATCACGATGTAAATATAGAGAATAGCAACTAGACCTGTCATTAGCCTGACGATCGCTTTATAGCGTGAAACTCAGAGTAGCTAAGCTAGTCTTTTAATAAATAAATAAATATATATATATATATATATATGTATATATATGAACAAATTATATATATATATATATATATATATATATATATATATATATATATTTATATGTATATATATATATATATATATATATATATATATATATATATATATATATATATATAGTCTTTATTATGAAGGTTGTCACCTGGAAATATATATAAATACGTAAATATCGATCACGTTATTGTACTGCATACGTTAATTTTATGGGGAATCGTTGAAAATTTATCTTGAAAATTTTTCAAATGTCATGCTAAGGTGAACAATATTGATAATAATAAAGAAACAAGAGGTAAGTGAACAAAATAAGCCATGTTTAACGGTCACGTGATTGATATTAATATATTTGTATATATATTGACATGGACAACCTTAATGATAACGACTATATATATATATATATATATGGTTATATATATATAAAAATTGCTTGTCAACTAGAGAGATATTATTCGAACATAACCACTGCTTTGTATTTTTTAATATCCCGTGGATATTCATCCGACACCGGAACTCCCTGTCTGATAGCTATTCATCCGACATGATGCGCATTCGTGTTCTGCGCAGTTTAATTACACGTGCGATAATTCATCGAACACGGGGGCACGCATCAAATGTAAAAATGGCGGATAAAGACATTGGGTTGAAAGTAGGCCAAAAGTTCTCGTCTTTTGAGGAGGTTAAGGTTGCAATCGCTCGCTATGAAGAAACGAATTACGTTAACTTGTATGTCAACGATTCAAGGTCAATTGTTTCAGCGCTAAAACGAACCCCAGAGAAGGTTTTTAAACCCGAGTTGAAATACTTCTATCTGAACTACACTTGTGTTGCTGGTGGTAGTAGAACATTTAAGTCCAAATCGAAAGGAGCAAGGCCGAACCAAAGGTTAGTTTTTTCTTTCTTTATACATAAGTAAACCTGTTTAGAAATGTTGTTTTGTGTACTGAATACTTTGAATTTTCTCTGTTGTCTAAAGCACATTTAGAAAGGGCTGCCCCATGCAAGTGAAGCTTCGAGTTAGCAAAGATGGCAATTTTTTGGAGGTGGTTGTTTTGAATGAAACTCACAATCATGAGTGTGATGAGGTATGTTGTGTGGTGTTATTGAGCTACTAAGTATATTCGAAGTGGCGATTATTTACGGACCTGTAAACAGACTTTTCCAAGCTATATTTAAGGCTCAGTTACAGGAAAAAAACATAATACAAAACAATTAAAACGAAGAGGACGGCAAAGATCACAGTCCAACGCCTTGTCATACATGTGCACCCCTATGGCTATAAGGGAGTGTTCATTATTTATGGTTGGGAGGCAGCTAGTTCATTAGGAGGGGGAGGCAAAAGAAGTTTGCTGTTTGCTTTTTGGGGGGGTCACCAGAGTTTGAAGATGGCTAGTTGAAGGGGGGTCATAAAAGTTTTTGTTCACTCAACAAAATGCGTTACTATGAAGCTTACTAACCTTACATGACTAAGATCTCTATTTTTTAGGTATCATTTAAACACTTTCCAAAGCAAAGGAGGCTAAATGAGGAAACAGTTAATGAGACAAATAAATTGTTAAAAATGAAATGCAACAAAAAGATTTTACAGAGTCATTTGCAGAAGATAAGTGGAAAGGTGGTAACAGGTCGTGACATTTCCAACATGAGGGCAAAAATTTCAGCCAGCAAGTGTAATCGAAATGACATTGAACAGCTGGTAAAAAAACTTAGCGAAAATGAAGGTTAGTTCTTTGCAACAGAAGGGTTATATATGGGAAAAGAACTGAGGTATAGCTTCCTATTTAAACATGTTACTAGTACACTTGTTTAATATCAGTAGAATTTCCCATTTTCCCCTCATCCATAATATTAGATGGATCAATTGCAGTTCGCCACCAAATCATGTTTAGCTGATATTGTTTTTGAGTTGTAGGCAGGATAAATAATCATATAATCATAATTAAAAAATAATTGTACCTTAGGTGCTACTGCCAAAGTTGTTGTCGATGACGAGAATAACCTGCTGGGTTTATACTATCAGGATAAACCAATGAAGGCTGCATATGATTCATTCCCTGAAATTGTTTTCATTGATGCTACTTACAAACTGAATGAGCTAAAAATGCCGTTGTATGTAATGCTTGGAGAAGATGGCAATGGCGAAAGTGAGATTTTCTGCACATTCATTGTATCCAGTGAAGAGAAACCAACCATTCAAAAAATGGTGCAGATCTTTAAAGATCACAATCCTTCATGGACAGGGACAAAAACAGTCATGACTGACAAAGACTTTGTTGAACGTCAAGTATTAAAAGAAGAGTTTCCTTGTGTTCACTTGGCTATATGTCTTTTCCATACCCAGAGGACTTTCAGGAGGGAGGTAACATGTGATAAAATGGGGATCACAGCAGAACAACGAAACCTGTGTCTGGAAATATTCCAGAAGATGACATATGCAAATAGTGAGAATGAGTATCAGAATTTGTGCAAAGATCTAGAGAGAACAAAAGTCCCAAGTGTCTTGGAATACTTCAGGAAGAATTGGGACAAAGAACACCATGAATGGGTTGAGGGTCTAAAGTCTGCTAACTTGACATTCCTGAACCGAACTAACAACAGGTATGTATGCGAATAGAAATCTTTAGAAAGGATATATCTTTAGAAACTCTACTCGATTAAAAAAAGGGAAAATCTAATTTCGTGATCACTTTCCTTTGAAATAAAAGGTCTCAACTGAACTGAATACATTCTGGCTGAACTTATACAGTAATTGAAGTGATCGCAAAGATAGATTGCATAATATTTCACCACAGCACTATTTGCTTATTTGTGAGAGATAAGACTAAAGAGTTCTATCCTTGAACAAATTTTTAGATTAGAATCCTTGAATCAAAAGATCAAGACTGTGTGCTCTAGAAATATGAGCCTTGGCCAGTTTTATGAAGAACTTCTGGTCGTGTTTCAATCCATTAGGACTCTACGTGACCATAAGGCAATTACATTATTGCAAAAACGACCTGTTTCCCTGTATGCTGAAGGTACAGCAGAAGCCAAATATATGAAAGTCTTAACCCCTTATGCATTTGGATTTGTGATGCAACAGCTAGAGTTAGCCGCCAAAGTTAAAAGCATTCGCAGAAAGGATTCTGAAGCTGCCACTGAATTTGAAGTTGATGCATCATCTGGCAAACTAACAGTGTCCGACTGTAACTGTGAGTGCATGTTCTTTACAGCAATGATGCTTCCTTGCCGACATATCTTTGCTGTTCGTAGAAATTTGGAGAAAGATGCTTTTGACATTTCTATTTGTGCTACAAGGTGGACAATAAGTTACTATAAGTCAAAACACTATGTCCTCAAAAGTTGCGATGGAAAGAAGTTTTGCTCAACTCCAGATGAAGCTGCTCCATTATGTATTGAACAACATACAAAAAAGCGGATCTTGTCACAACATGAAAAGTACAGGAAAGCTTTTGCAACGTGTCAAACTTTGGCATCATGTGTGTCAGAGTTTCCTATGCGGGAATTCCATGAAAAGGCTGCTGTCTTGGAGAAGATTTTGATGTATTGGAGAAATGGTGATGAAGTTGTTGTTCAAAAGGTTTCACATGATGACAGTGAGGGTATGTTATTTTAATAGATGTTTAGTGAAAAACAAGTTAACATGCTCAAACATGGTACTTAACGAATTGCTCTAACTGCATGTCAGTGCCCCACCCACCCCCAATCCTTCTCCCATTTTTAACTAATCCTCCATTATATCTATAAATACATTTAGAGAGTCGGGTGTTTGCCCAAAATGACAAGACCGCTGGAGTGATGCAGTTAAAAACACCTGAAAGACAGGGTAACTATAATAATGTTCCCAGTGGCTATTTTAAAACACTCAATGGGCGATATTTCAATTTTTCGGTTCTTATGATGTTACTGGTACTTCTTTAGAAAACCAGCAAACCATAACAGATGAGGCGGAAATGAGTGATGCAACATCTGGAGTGATACCTTCAAATATTGGAAAAACACAGGGTCATGCTAGAATTGGTAAAAAACAAATTTAGCCATGTGTCTCCATTATAACTGCTTTATAAGTTCAATATTCATAACACACTGGCAAGTATTGCAGCATTATTTTCATTTTTCAGACGTTATAACAGGTGAAATTGAAGTGAGCAATCCACAAACTGAGCGGGATAGCAAGATCAAAATCCCTCCTGTTATGCCTAAACGTGGCCGTCCAAAAGGAGCTGACCTAACAGTGATTGGGATACCAAGAAAGAGGTTTAAGGCAAACGAAAAGTCTGGAAAGAGTAGGCCAACACCTTTCATGAAAAAGCCAGCTACAGTTAAGGATAAAAGTGAGAGTTGGATACAAACATACTGTCAATTTTTGGTTGAACTATGACTGGTGGCCTCCCTGACTGCACTAACTTCTTCCCCCCCCCTTCAAAAAAAATATAATATCGACTTGCCACTTTTACATGAGGTAATGTTAATCAGCCCTTGCAAGGTTTATGCAAACAAATAACAAAGGTTGACAAACACCAGGCAATTTTAGTGATGCAGGCACTTTTAGTGATGCAAACATGTACCCAGCTGTTTTTAATGAAATAACCATTTTTATGTAGTCATGTTGTCTTGGCTGCTGTCGAAAAATGATGTTACCTCAGCCCTCCATGGTGATATTATTGATGAGACCGCTGTGGAAGTCCGACCGGAAAAAGTGCACCCTGCCTTAATTGATGAAAATGTGAATGTGCTGAGGCTTAGACCGTATTTCAACAAAGATGCCTGGTTATTGGTAAGCCAGGTACTTGATCAAGTGAGAAAGGATCCAACTTGGCTTTGTGAAGTTTGTAAGAGTGATGTTGAGGAAAGTTGTGTGTCATGTGACAGTTGTTTGAACTGGTTTCACTTTGAATGTGTGGCATTAAAGAAAGCTCCTAAGGCAAAACATTGGTTTTGCAGGAAATGCTGTGCTGAAAGTTGACTTTATAGTATAAAGAATACATATCAAAATAATACTCAATGTATTGTTATTGTTGTAGTTATTTGTCAGTCATATCACTTATTAAAAGTATATTAATTAAAAGATTTTAATGACTGTAAAACTTTCAAATGAACACCCTAAATTTTGCCTTTTCATGTATTCCTCCAATTATGGCTCCAAATCTGACCAGAGTTTAATACAAGGAAAGTAAAAAATTGATGCCTTATTCAAAATAGACACAGTGGCTGTACCTCAACAGAGGTTAGTTGCCTAAAGCAAATAATTACAGTCTGTGACTGATTTACTGCCCAATAGCCTAATTTTTATAATTATGCAAGGCAATTGAAGATTTGTTGGTGACAAAATGAGAAACAAGAAAATGAGTAACATTAATGCAGCCACTAAATATTATTTTTTTTGTTTTACATACTCTAAAATTTTCGGAATTCTGTGTAATCTACCTCCAAAATGCTAGAAAACACATTTCAGGGTTTGCTACCTAGGGAAGCATGCCCCACCCCCCCAAAGCAAACTGACCCTGGTTGATAACTTACTATCTTATCTATACTTATCCATCACTAAATTAATATAAAACATTAAATGTTGTTTATTTGGGAAATAAAATGCATGCAACAGATTTAATAAAAATGTGAAAACTTATACGGAACTCAACAAGATGAATGCATAAGAAGATACGATTTTTGAAACTCCAATGAGTTTCCAACTTCTGGTTGAAAACTCTGAAGAAAACTCTTGGTGATATTCAATGAAATAGCGTGTTTCTTTTCTATTACGAAATTTGTCGAAAAAATAGTGCTTTGTTGAACGTGTCCGACACGATGTCGCAAGAATAACCATTCCATCAATCCCCGTACGACAAAAAACACTCAAAAATATTAAAGTCGATATTTTCCTTTTTGCGCATGCGCTACATGAATGTCGGATGAATAGCTATCAGACAGGGAGTTCCGGTGTCGGATGAATATCCACGGGTTTTTTAATATCACTTTATTCACAAACGTTTTCGCTCTCTTAGCTCTTCAGGTGATAAATGATGACAGTGGTTATTAATTTTTGTTTACTTACATATAGTGTAATATGATACATCCTATTTAGTGTGACTATGTTAAAGTTGTGTTATTTACAAAGATAAAATTAGCATGCATTAATAGTCTGCATGTTGTGGCACGATATCGTTCAGCTTCATTAAGCATGTTTTAGAACTGAGTAAATTTTACAAAACTTACTATTTTTTACCACGCTGAGTCCGAATCCGAAGAGTTCCCAAGTTGTAGACCCGCAGTTCTTTTGTATTTTGCAGTTTTAATAGTCACTCTTTATAAATAACATGCCGCCATCTTTAATTTATTCCGTGCCTATTCACAAAATTCCATTCGTTACACTTCCTTAAATTATGCTCCAGTCCAACAATTTAAGACCGAGTAAAACTTTTAAATGATGGAATCTAATCTCGTGGACCTCAATAATAGAACTGGATGACCCACCCCAAGATTCTTTTTTAACAAAAGTCAAAAACAGCTTTCAAAACACAAAAAATTAGATAATTTGGTAGTTTTAAAAGTTTTAAATGTAAATTAACAAAATGGCAGTTGATGCGGGATCATCTCCCTGCATTGTTCACTTTGAAGGCAAACTTGGTCCTCAAAAACAATTGTCAAATGAAACATTGAAAACAATAGTTAATCGAAGAGGAGAATGGCTTGAACTGACACCGCAGAAATTGGTGTTTAAGACGTTTCAACCCGAAAATCTAATCGCTGGTTCACAATTGTGCATTTCTGTATCGCCCTATCAAAGAGAAACCTTTTGAATATCTTAAAAAAGTTCAATTTTTCTTCTGAATACGCATTCTGCAATCTTTTGACAGCTCATCATACACATCTGACCGCTGTGAAATGGCCATTTTGAGGCTTAAAGTATACACAAGGTTATTAATTCAGACGATTCGTTTTTACCGTGAGCAAGCTTCAAATCTTTTGTGCAAGACATATTTTCTTGAATATTTATAAATCTTTTTCCTCACCAAGTTTGAAGTCTAAGTATCGAGAATTGCGGCTAAGCCTATACCAATTTCCGCGGTGTCGCTTGAACTTCCTAGGCATGAAAAATACAATACGTGCAGGAACATTGCCGAGAGGTCTTTTGAATATATATCTGATGGTATAAAAGATGTCCATGAGCTATCTGGTGTTATGTCGTATCATCTGACATGTTATCGAAGTTTCACGGACATCACTAAACTAGAAAGAGCCCGGAAAATAGCTGCAAGTTCTGTAACTTCAAGAAGCTGTAGTACTAATATGGATGAACATGAAGATCCAGTTGAAAAAGTGCAGCGTACAACTAGGCAATCCTTTGGTCTGAAGTGTGCGAAAGGGGCAACGTCGACGTCGTCTAATGTTCTTCCAAAATGCTGTTTGATTTGTAAAGAGTCTGGACCAATATATGTAACTAATACGGTACGAATTTTAAGAATTCATTAAGATGATAGGTGCTTGGTGGAGCAAGAATGTTTTATAAAAATATTGAAAAGGCTGTAACGTGGCTTTACCCACTTTAATTTTTCTATTGCAGGCTTCGAAAAAACGCGTAAAACAAGATCTATCTCTTGCACAAACTGTAACTGCTGGGATACTACTCAAGGCTGCTGAAATGAGAAATGATGAAAGTGTTCTCGTACATATCAGAGGAAAAGATTGCGTTGCAATTGAAGCAAGATATCATAAAAAATGCTACCAGAAGTACACGAAAAGCTTGTCAAACATGACCAATGCAAAACCGCCAGTTATCGAACCCACGGTTTATGACAAAGCATTTGAGATTTTCTGTTTAAACATCATGGAGAAAAGAATAATCCACAAAAAAGAAATATTGCTTCTGAGTTATCTTCTCAGGAAATTCATTGGCATTATTAAAGAAGTTGACGGTAGTGATGTCCCATACCAAGGCGCGCGTCTAAAGAAGAGGATCTTATCACGGTACCCCCAGATAGTCTTCCATGCGTCTAAGACAATGACAAAAGGAACGCTTGTGTACTCTGACGACTATGTACCTGGAGAGGTTGCAGATGACGAGCTGAAAGTGGATCGAAGTGATAGCGAAGAGGAGGACGATGAGGAAGAACCTGAAAACGGAATAGGAGAAAGTTCAAACCGAAATGTCCTTGATATCGAGCCACACCAATTTTTTTACGTAGCAATGGAAGTTAGAAAGATGCTGAAGGAGAGTAAGGGCGTAGACCAATGGCCCCCTGACTCAAATGACCTGACCCTAGAACGTGCAATAGAATCAATCCCTATCAAGCTGTTCAACTTTATCGCGTGGACACTGGGATATTCAAACGAACCAATATTTGATGAAAGAGTGGTAATGTGTCGCAGTCAAATTTGCAAAATCGTTTCAATATGTCAAGATCTTGTTTATGCTGAAGCAAAAGGGAAGAAGCAGACGCAAAAATCACTGGCTCTCGGTATTACTGTACGCCAAATTTCTGGATCAGCGAAGCTCATCAACATTTTACATGGACTTGGCCACTCAGTTTCATCGTCTACTGTGTGCAAACATGACTCGGCACTCGCTTCAATTAGTAATGCATCTGATCATTATTCCGAGGAATACCAATGTTGGAG